TGTATGTGTACAGAAATACCACAACGAAAAGCCTCACTCTCTATAGTTAATATATGCTCATAAAAATAATTTTTAATTTCAAAAAAAGAATTAACAGAAAATTCAGCAAGCTTTCTGAATACAATATCATTGATACAGAAACCAATAATGTTCCTGAATATCAGCAAAGGAAATTGAAATATGTGGTTAAAAATCAGTATGGGGGCTCTGGGGATGTAGCTCAGAAGCTTAATGTTTGCCTAGCATACACCTGGGTGCAGGAGACCCTGGTTCAATCCTCAGTCCCACAAAAAAAAAAACACATAAAACTAAAAAGCTAGGTTCCGGCGGAGTGCCTACCTAGCAAGCGTGAGTACAAACCTCAGTACTGTCAAAATAAAAAAATTAAAAGCACTACGCTAGGAATAAACCTAGCAAAGATTTGTAATGATATTTTAAAATTCATAACTTTATTTAAAACATAAAAAACCTGAAAAAGTTGACAGATACACTTTTTTAGACAGAAAGACAATGTCAATAAGTATTAATAAATCTAGGTAGCAAGCAAGTTAAAACACCAGTACTGCAAAAAAAAAAAGGTGGAAAAAAGGAAGTATTGTTAACTTAAAGTCACTTGAGGTATAATTTAGCAACTTCCCATATATTTTAAGTGCATGCCTTAAGAATCCAAATAAAGTCTAGGTTTAAGCCCAGAGTGTGGCTCAAGTACAGCGCTATCTTGCAAAACATCAAAGTGCTGAGTTTCAAAACCCAAGTACCACAAAAAAGAATCCTATAACTAAGAGACAGTACAAGAAGATATATAAGAGCACTCACTGAAGCCATTTATAGTAGCAAAACCTGGACATCTACATGACTTCCAATAGGAAAATGCATAAACTGCAGTGGAGTCATACAATGGAATACTATATAGCCAAACATTATTTATCAACATAATATTTTGTGAAGAAGCAGCAACAGAGACTATGTACAAATGGTTCCGCTGTAAGTAGAATGTTTAGATTTGCAAATAATATATTGCTTATGGATCCGGACACATGCATGAACAAGTGGAAATCTGTGTGGGAAACAATCTGTATGAAAGTCACAGTAAGCAGTTACCTCTGATAAGAGGAACATACGTGGAATAAAAGACAAGAGGCTTCACTCACATTCATAATGCGTATTTCTTAGAAAAAAATGATCAAATGCAAAATGTTAGTATTAATAAAGCTAGATAGTGTCTGTGGGTGTTCCTATCAGTCTGTACATTTTCTGTAATTTAAAATAGTTTATCTTAAAAAGAATGGTAAACGTTAGCATAAAAAGTCCTTGCTGTGATGTAGCACTCTCCTCTCCCTCCTCTTTTTCTCATTTTGGACCAGGTAGATATACTGAGCCAGCTCCTATTCTGTTAGTGAGACCACACACACACACACACACACACACACACTGCTCTCCCCTATTTCCTGTCTTCCCATGACCAGCTACCTGCAAGATCAGACAAACTTAAGAGGAAGGAGACAGCCCCACCTGCCTGCAGCCCAGGCCACTTGCTCCATCCCTAACACCCTGAGGTGGGACATGGGTGACAATGAAACAGCCCTTGATTTCCTCCCAGTCTCCACTAGGTATTTAACTCCTTCAGTGACTCGATAGGAGCTGACAGCTATGAGTTAAGGAAAGGGCAGCTCCCTTGTGACTGTGGGAATTAGGTGGTGTTTTTTTTCTTTCTTTGTTTTTCTTGCAAAGTACAGAATGATCTCTGGGGCTGGGGCTATAGGATCAGTAGTAGATCACTTGCCTAGGATACAGAAGGCACTGAGTTTAGTCTCCAGTGGGGGTGTGGGGAACAGAATGATCTCTGGTATGCCCGCCATGAGGTCAATGGCACAAATTCTTATTTGGTTCAGTTCAAGCTCTTTCTCAGGAAAACTCTATGCTTTCAGCTAAAAACTCTGTGGAGATTAAACTCCATTTATGAGAGGTCAGAAACAGCTCAGCTTCCTTCCTCTCTCTTAAATAAAATTGTGCTGCGTTTTCTTGCAATAACACATTAATAAATTCATTGTGACCAGAGTATCAAAGCTCACAGTGTTCTAACAAATTGAATTCTCAGGAAAAACTTGGCCTGAGCTCTTCAACTTTCAAGAGACAGTCCTGTGACTCAAAGGCACTGGAAGCTGACAAGTGAATAAATCTATTCCTCCTTTGCAGCCTGCACAGACTCTACATTGCCTTACCACTGTCCCAGAAGGAAAGCCAGACACCTTAGGAAAACTTGGATGGCAGTTACTGACATGAGGCCTTACTGTGTCACCAGCAACCAGTGCAGCAGCATCAGGTGCTTGACATAGGCAAGAGGACAGAGGACCTCTGCTCTTCCCCGACTGTCTCTCTCCAGCCACTGAGCTGTCTACTGCAAGTGGAAAAATATGAACACTTTGGAGATCAGCAGGAGGGAAGCTTGCTCCAGAATGGAGAAGAAGGGACTTCCCACTCACCCCAGTAAGCTGGACTGGAGACATGATGGAAACCAGAGCTGGTATGACAATGGATAGTCAGCCCTAGGGACCAGCTTCCTCTATAAAGACAGAGAGCCAGGGAACGGGGTCAGGTTAGGGTGAGTTCCAGGAACCTGCAATGGCCGGTCCACTCTTCTGAGTCCTCCCAAGCCCTGTACCTCCACCAATCAGTGGAAGCCCTGACCAAATGGAACCACCCCATATGATTTGGTGCATCCTACCAAAATGCAGGGGGAGTGTCCCCATTACCCCATTTGCACACAGGCTAAGAATACTGAGGCCCCTTACCTTGTGCCAAATAATTTGCAAACACATACATCTCAATTAATCTATGTAACCCTATGTGATGGTTATTGTCACTGGGTTGGATTCCTACTTAAAACCTCCTTCTTGAAACAGTTTCCCATTACTCTCTAAATAACATCCACATCCTTCCTGTGGTTTCCAAGGCCTATGCAACCTGGTTCTGCCCATCTCCCTCTTTCTTGCTCTCCCTCCCCGCCTCCCCCATCAAGCTACTCCAGCTACACAGCAATTTATCTTCCTCAAACTCCCTCCCTAGAGGGAGCTGAAAAGGCAGATAGTGCTCATATTGCTACAGCCTGGCCTTGAGTGTGTATTTTATTGTATAGGACTAGGAATTGCTGGAATCCTCAGAGTAAGACCTTAAAAGCACTATGCTGAGCTGGGAGGGGGCTTCCCTGGCAGTACTGAGGATAAGCCAGAGAGAGGCCAGGAAAAGTTATCCTGTGCAGGACTCTTAGCCTCCAGTGAACATCTATACTACTATAGGGTATTATATAGAGGAGAGGGGAGAGGGAGTGAGGAAGAGGGGAGGGGAGGAGAGTGACAGGGAGAAAGGGAGAAGGCAGAGAGAGCAGGAGAGGGAGAAAGGAGCAGAAGAGAGGAAGGGAGGAGAGGAAACAGAACTTTACCTCAGCTGGGATGTAGCTCAGTGGTAGAGCACTTGCCTAGCACAAGCAGCCCTGGTTTGGATCCCCAGAACACGGGACGGGGTTGGGGGGAGGATTACCTCCTACTGATTATTTTGTGCTTAAGTCTGAGGTCCTATGGATTCCATGGTAAAAAAAAAAAAAAAAAAAACTGTCCTGACAGACGTCACACAGATAATTAACTTGGAAACATCCCATGTTCATTTCTGAAGCTTCAGCCAGTCCTGGAGACAACTGGCAGGTAGGTGGGGTAAGGAGGCACAAACTGAATGTTGAAGACATCTGAGGCTCTTCCTTAACCCAACACCTAGCTAGCCATGTTCATTCTAGACTCAAACTCCCCTCACAGCTCTCCACCCCAAAGCCACTTCTTTCATTCAGGCCTTCATTCCTTGTCAACACTGGGACAAGTGTTGGGACCAATGTTGTCAACATTGGTCTCTATAGGGGTAATCTTTCTTCTACTCTGTCCCTCAAACTATAACCAGAAAAATCAGACTAACATACAAATTGAAACATATTCCAACTAACCCTCTCCCCAAATCCCCAAGCACCATACTTAAATCTGCACCAGGTCATCACAGCGTAGAAGATAAAATCCCCACAAACTTCAAAGCTGTTTATGATCTTCCTGTGCTGGCAACTCCTGTGCTGCAGTCATGCTGACTGATTTCAAGCTCCTCAGAAGGCACCCCATTTTCTCTCACTGGTCAGAGGTCACCTCTGCTGAGTAGCTGTCTTGGAAAGACCCCTTTTTCCTGAACACCGGGCAGTGTCCTTTCTATATTTCTGATGACTCCTGAATCATGGAACTTTCAGTCATAGCTGACTAGTATAGTAGTCAGTTCAACGGTTCACTACATCTTATTTCTGTACCTACAGTGACTGGCACTCAGACAATAAATATTCATGCCACCTGTCATGGAAGGGACCTCAAGAATAATTCTGGTTCTTCCCCCATCCCTACATTAAATGTCTGCTATCCTCTATAACTCCCTTGCTAAGTGATGTCCAGCTGCTTGAGTATCTCCTTGGACAGGAAATGACTTATAAAACACCAATATCCACAAGACCTCATGTGGACACAACACACAGAATTCTGCTGGAAGGAGTATGTACTGATTATACTGTATTTTTCAGAGAATGACAAGGGAAAAGTCTGTAAATGTTTGGTAGAGATCTATTAAAAATATTTGTAATCCATGGTCAGAGAATGTACTATAAACATTTAATCTTAAAAAAGATAAAAGTAAAATAACCAAAAACTGGGGCTGGAGGCCTGGCTCAAGTGGTAGAGCACCTGCCAACCAAGCACAAAGCCTTGACTTTAAACCTCAGTACTGCCAAAAAAAATAGAAAAGAAAGAAACTGGAACATTTTCGTATAGTGAACACAAATGGGATTTTTCTAGATTCTTCTTGCCCTCACTTCTGTCCTAAGTGTTTAGTCTTCATAATCACCATGTTGTCAAAAAGAATGTCTATCGACACCACTACGTTCTAATTCTAAAGGAATCTAAAAGAAAGGAGAAAAATGACTTAAACTATTTATTGAAGGAGTAATTTACTCAATACTAAGTGGAAGTAGACAAGGGAAGAAGCATGGGGGAGTCAGGTTTGTTGGTACAGCTGAAAACACTGAAGCCTCTGCTCAGCAGTGATTCAGAACCCAGGTTTTTGTTCTTCTCCATGGTTCAATCCCTCAAGAGTCACTTTCCATTTGGAGAGCAAAAGAGGATTCTTCTGTCTACCAGCCACAGTGCCAGGTCTTCTCTGAGCCTTGGTGTCCCGTGGAAAAGTAACTCATTTTTCAGACTCCTCTGGAGAACTGAAAAGCCTCTTCCTCATTGAATTGCCATGCTCCCTGCTCCTGGTCCTCTTTTCCATGTACTGCACGGAGAAAGGGAGAGAAGAGACAACAGATGAGGTCACCATTGTTATTGGTGAAATGAAATAATAAATGTGTTTATTGACAAAATTCTTATTTGTCATTATTCACTGAATCTGAGATTATAGGCAGTGGCCTCAAAGGACATCTACTACAACTCCTTCAACACGGAAGGGTGCTTGCACCCTAATAGGACTCCAATAGCTGCTGAATTAATTTCCTCCTAAAATAAGAATTTAACAAGTATTTCAGATGGATGAGATCTGGCCCTGTTCTCTGGGGCCTTCATGTCTCTGCTGGGGGCTGCCCACATCGAGAAGTGGCCTGTTGGACCAAAAAGTACTTCCCTATAAACTTCTTGCCTGATATAACTTTCAAATAACTGATGCAAATGAGCCACTCATGCCATTTTAGGCCAAAATCCCTGGTTTCTACAACTATTCCTTAGAACATTTGTTTCTGTCTTCTAATAGCTGTAAAATAAAGCATTTTAACACAATGCCTTCACTTAAAAATTACAAGCAGAATTATACAGTATTCTAGATGGCTGACAGACATGGGCTAGAGGACCTAGTTGTTATGATCTAGTTACATATTTCTATGCATGGCATTAAGAGTAAATGACTCAGCAATCATAATGTCCTATTGAGTCACATGGAACTTTATAGCCAGCTGAACTTCCTAGGATTTCTTCATCATAAACAGTCACCAAACTTGATTCTCCTCAAGTTCTATCAAGCCCAGCTTGGGCCACAAAATATATTCAAAAAAAGTCACTCTTAATACTTAGGTCAAAACTCCAGGAAGTTCTTCAAACAGTAAAGATAATGTCACACTGAAAAAGAGATTCCAAGTAGAAAAAAAAATGTCCAGAGTGGAAAATACCCAACACGAAGATAGATGATAGATGCTGAATGGCTTCAAATATTATATTTAAACCTTTCAATCTGAGACTAATTGAAAAAATAGTTTAAAAATGCAAGGAGATGAAAATTGGAACACAGATTTTAGCATATTTATGTATTTTTTAGTCATATATTTTGAAAAGTTCTAGAGACAAAATATCTTACTACAAAACAGAAATGGAATTCAATTTCATTTCAAGGTTTAAAATGCACTCTGCTTGGTTAGCAGTACCTGGAAAAAGGCCGTGAACTGGGTGCTTTGGCTGTTTACCCAGCTTCAAGTTAGGGCCTGAAACCAGGGTCAAGAGAAGACAATCCTCCAAGTGAAGCTAGATGGCCCCGTGCCTTGTACATTAACTAAAGATGGATGCCTGGTCTCCTCACTTCACAGAAGGAAACGGAGCCCACCAGTCCCAGTGCCCTGCTAACCAGCTAATCACAGAGAAGAACGTCTGTCCACAGACAGGGGACCCAACTGCTTAAATCTTAAAATCCATCCAACTTGACTCTTTCAAACAGCAAAAAGAAGCAATGTGCTAAACTGTTCTCAGCAGGCTTTTAGTTCTCTCATTTTAGAGGGGAGGTCATGCATATAAAGTAGATTTTCTCTATTAAGAGCAAAGTCGTGGGAAACTCTCATAATGGCCACAATATGTAAATTAAAAAATGTTACGTTCTATTGTTTGACCATTTCCAGCCTTTGACAATTTTCTTACCTCATTTTTCAAGCATTTTCTCATTTCCCGATCAAGATCATTGCAATGACCAAAAAATTTCAGAATGTTGTGCTAGGAGGAAGAAAAGGAGTAAAATATTTCATCCCATAATATGCTAATATCTCTGATACATAGAATTTAAATAGTTATTTCTGAGGAAATTAGTTTACTACATCACTTTGTCAAGAAGCAAATAAGAGTTAAATGTATAAAGTAAATAAATAAACAAACAGGTTCTTCCTATAGAAGAGGAATAAATGCTCTACACATAGAAACAAAAATAAAAAGAACTTTTCCGTGATTGAAGAAAAGACCTCCTAACCCATCAAAACCTCAGAAGCACAGTGCAAAAGTTTAATCACCCAATACCCCTTTAAGAGCATGCTAAAATCATAGCACAATACATTCTCCGCTTCAGAGACTGGTGTCAAGCTGCAGTGTGGCCAGAGACATAAGCAAACTTCACTAGTAAACACTCTACCCCTTAAGAGCTATTTAAGAAAATGCTTGGTGCCAGAGCCGTTTTCTCATCTGCCTTCAGTCAAAATGTCATCAAAATACACCAGACACATGCACTATCATTGGATTGCCTATACAGACCACATAAACAAGCCACCAGTTCAGTGCTTTGTTGAAAAGCCAAACATAAATATCTTCTAGTGTTTGAGTCTGTTACTGTTATCATGGCAAAAGTACGAATGCTGTAAAGCAGGCTAAGATGAAGCCTGAAGTTAAAGACCTGAATTTTAGCAGGGCCATAATTAGTGTTTGCACATGACAATTTTTAAGGGTGGGTCAGACAGCATGGTGATCTGCTGTAATGATAGGCCAAAATGCTGAACTTGGAGTTGTAATAAGCAAATTTTTTCCTGCTCTTTCAAATTATGGCTTTCATGGAAACCAGACAACACATAATTAGTAAGCTATGCTCATTCTATTTCTTTTTTTCCTACTTCACTGTCACTTGAAAAGCATTTTTCAGGTCCACATTGAATAAATGGTCAGGGTTTTTCCAGCAAGCATTTAAGATAATCTAAGATTACTTATTTGTTTCCTAATGACTTTTCAGAAAAAATATTTCCCGTGTACTTTTCCCAAACATTTCAACAACAAATAAACAGGGATGACACACTTTCATTCCTTCTAATCAGGTAGAAATAACAGAAAAGATTAGATTATAACACAGTATTTAATAGTTTAGTGTACATTTATTTGTACCATTCTATATACATACACCATAAGTTTAAAAGCCCAAACTTACATTTCCTTTCACTTCCACATTACCTAAACCGGAATGAGAGTTACACTTTTGTGACACTGTGTGGCAAGTGTTAAATCCAAATGCCCGCATGAAATTGGTACAAAAGTGCCTGTGGACTGCAATTCTTCTGTACACTCAGGGCAGGTGTCTCCAGTGCCTGATGCCTATTTCTAGAGAATCAAATCAACACAGCCACTGATTAAGTGAATTAATTGCCAGCTGTCTGAGAACCTTTCACGTGGAGAACAGGGTCCCAGGTGCTGGGGACACAGCTGTGAGCAAGATGGACCTGCCCCCTACTCTCATTGCATGTAGTCAAAAATGAAGCAACTGCCATGAAACAGTGGTGTAGTCCAGGGACATCCAGGAGCTCCCAAGACCTGTTTGGGAGATGCACAAGGCCAAAACTATTTTCCTACTAATTCAAAAACCTTATTTGTTTTTTTCACTCTCATCCCCTCACAAGGGTACCGTAGAGGGTTTCCAGAGGCTACATGAAGTATAGTTACATAACGAATTTAATACAGAGACAGATATGAAAATTAAGCTGCATTCTATTAATTAAGACACAAAAAATTACAAAAATGCAAACACAATTTAATGCTTTTCACCATTTTTCCATTTTGAGTAATAAAAATTTTATGGAAAACCATGTTAACAGGTAATAGGTTAACTTTGACTTTAAAATAAATTTTCACTTACAATTCAGTCAATTGTGTTAGACATTGACCACATAAACAAAATCTCTTGGGGGTCCTCAATAATGATTAAGAATGTAAAAGACAACTGCCATGCATTAAGAGATGTGTTACATATGGTGCTGTGATGTACAATGACTATGTCAAGAGAACTGAGGCTGGGAAAAGAGAAAGGGGAGAGGAAATGACCAAATGAGCTGAAGACGACCTGAGGGATGATACAGCTGATTTAGGAAATGGCACATGGAGACAGTGAAGAAGGCTCTACATTGAGCAGAGGAAAAAGCAAATGAAGGCTTAGAAGAGAGAGAGCATGCAGGAATAAGGGGGAGTTGTGGGAGACAAGTGAAGTCTAAGGGCCACGTATGGGCCAGTTTCATGAAGGTCTTGAAACACAAGGCAAGAACTTTAGATTTTATTCAACAGGCAAAGGGAGACATTCAACGGGAATGATGAAGGAAATGATTATTAAACTTGCTTTTGAACGATCATTCTAGATGTGGTGTGGAATGTGGATTAAGACAGAGAAGACAACAAAACAGAAGACCAAATAGATGCCATCCATTTACAAGTGGCTCCAATCAGGCACCCCTGGCATGGATTGGTACTGTAATGGAGACCGATGACTCAAGCTAGCTGCAGAGGAACGGGGAGCACTTTGAGTGCTCACGTGACAGGTGGGGCAGAAAGAGTGAAAAATTACAGATGACACTGGACAAGTTGTCACTAAGACAGAAAGAAGTAAGATGAATTTGTGTCTGGACATGTTGAGTTTGTTTGTGGAACAGGTAAGTCCACCACAGAGTTGAGATAAACAGACCTGGAATTCAGAAAAAAATCTGAGGCAGAGATAGATTCATTCAAGAGTTACTGAAAGCATAGGAGTGAATGTATTTTTCAGGAAAGTGGAGACAGAGAATCAGGCCTGGGAGAGAAGGGAGAATCAGGCCTGGGAGAGAGGGGGGACTGAAGGATGGCCAAAGAGACATAAGGAAGACCGGGAAATAGAATAGTATGGTAGAAGCCTGTGGAGGCATGTTTTGAGAAAGAATCAAATGTTGCCTGGGAGAAAAGTGAAGCACTGAAAATGCCCATTTAACAATGCTGTAATTCATCCGTGACCTTGGTAGTTTTAGCACCCTAGTGAGGGTAGAAGCCAAACTGGAACGAGGAGAAAGTGAATATTCTTTCAAAGTTTGCTCTGAAAGGGAAACAAACATAATCTATCAGAGTGCTGGGATTATGGAAAGGGATTTATATATTCATTTTCTCAGGATGGGAAAGATGCAGACAATTCAAAATGCTGATAGGAAGACAGAAAATAGGAAAACATAAAGATTACTGGATTGCCAGGCACCAGTGACTCACATCTGTAGTCCTGGCTACATGGGAGGCTGAGACAGGGAGGACCAAACTTCAAGGCCAGCCCAGGCAATAGTTTACAACACCAGAGCAGAATGAACAGACTGGAGGCGGGCTCAAGAAGTAGAGCACACACTTTGCAAACGCAAAGCCCTGAGCTCAAACCCCAGTCCCACCAACAAACAAACAAACAAAAAAGATGCTGGATAAAGCCAATTGTTAATGTGTTTATTTCTGGATGGTAGAGAAAATAGTTTTTGTTTGCGTTACATGTTAAGTTTTTACACTACCAACAATGACATGCATTGCTTACAGATTGCTTTTATAAATCAGAAAAAATACATTAAGGACTTCCAAGTAGCTCTGAGGAAAAGAGCTGTTCTAAATTCTGTATCTTAACTGTAGAAGATCTGAATCTTGCTGACAAATGTAGGCAAAACAGGCCAGTAGATCAGAGCAGCCACAGATACTGACAGCTATGGAAATGACATTTGGCTGCAGAGACCACAGAAGAACCATAAAACATGAGAGAATGATAAAAACACAGCAAGTTAGTACTTTGTGGAGATAAAATAGTCCTGTATTTCAAGAGGATTGGAGAGAACTGCAGAATTGCAGACCAGAAAGGGCCATTCAGAATGATGGCCCCATCAACAGAAAAGATTAAAATACAGAATCTCACAAAGTCAGGGCTGGAAGCTAGATATTTTAATCCATTTATTTTATCAATTAAACAACTGAGATCTTAAGTAGCATGCATTTAGGATCTTGGGAGAATTCAGGAAAATAGGCAGAAAGTTTAAGCTGAACTCTACCGTGAGGAGTTTTGATGGTCAACTGTCCTTGTAGTGGTGACTGCCGGGGAGGGGAGCACAAGGAGGCTTTAAGGTCCGGGTGATGTAGCTTAATAAAAGTGCTGGAAAAAATGGATATGAGAGGAACCTGCCTCTCGTTACCCACACAAAATTCAGTTTTACCACTGTTAACCCATGCCATCACAAAAGCCATACTCTATCAGCAACAGCTCTGTCTATAGCTGTTCAAATTCCTTTGGTTAGTTCGTCTTTTTAGTGTGATTAGACAGCTCATTTGAAATAAAGTTGGGTTTGCTGATTGTTTGATCTCACTTTGAGTTTTCTTCCTATACTTGCTCACTTTTTTTTTTGCACATGTGAAACATTAACGAGGCTCAAAATGTAAGATCTATAAAAAGATAGAAGTATCACTCCTTCATTGGCTTGACCCTGCTCCCACCTATCCTCCAGAGGTAATGACTCATTAGTTTCAGGTTATCTTCTTTTGTACAAATGAAAGAAATCCATGTATATTTTGTTTATCTCTTCCTCCTTTTTTATTCAACTGTGAGGATCCTATAAGAACTCTTCTGCACTTTGATTTTTAAAGTCATTCATGTCAGCTCACAGAAATCTTTCTGTTTTAAACAGCTCTACACAAGAACCAACTAGAAGACTCTAGAGCCAAAGCTGAAACAATCTGAGCAACAAAATAAAGAAGTATTGGTTGTAACACAAATATTCATGAGTCATACTGATGTAAGTAAACAAATGAGAGAAGAGACAAGTCTCTAGAACAGAATTCCAAAAAATTATGCAGATACTCTACCATCAAGGGAAAGCCTAACTCCCCAGTCCTTAAATGTGGGCTGCACATCCTGATTTCCTTCCAAAGAAATTATGGAAAGGTGGGGGAAAGTAACTTTAGAGAAATCTGACAGATACTACCTCAGTGAGGTAATCAAGGTCCATTATCAACAGTGATAAATGATGTTGACAGTATGTAGCCTCCATATAGTGTGTGAAATGGTACTTTACCTTTGTGGTCTCCTCCCAAATCACTCTACTAGAAGTACAACCAAGAGAGAAGCATAAGGCAAATTCAAATAGAGGGGCAGCCTATGAAATACCTGACCATTAGACTTCAAAACCATCAAGGTCAAAAAACAAAGGGCTATCACAGCCAGGAGGAGCCTTAGAGTCATGACAGCTATGTACTGTGGAATCCTGACTGGAAAGCAGGATTAATGATTATTAACGATAAATGTGCCAATATTGGGTCATTAACTGTAACAAACATACCTTACTAGCAGTGGGATGATGATAAGGGCATGGGACATATGGGAATTCTGTACAACATTTACAATTTGTCTGTAAATCTAAATTTGTCTGTTTTTAAAAGTGAAATCTACTAAAAAAAATACGCTGCACAATATTTCATTGTGTAGATGTACCAGAGATTATTCAACCTTTCCAAGCTGGAAAAGGTTGTTTCTAACATTTTGCCCCTACAAACAATGGTGCAATAACTTTATGCAGATATATTTTCAAACTGTTGAAAATACACTCGTAGAAGTGGTGTGAGTCAGAAGATTATTGCACTTTATTGTGACATTGCAACTCCTCTCCATACAAACTGTACCAAATTGCACTCCCACAGACACACATAAATGTCCCTCTTTATCGTGTCGCTAGTACAATGTACTATCATCATGCCGTTTATTTTTGCCAATCAGAAGATAAGAAATGGCCTCAACTATTAAATGAGGTTGAACATCTTTTCATATTTTTTGGCAGTACTGGGATCTGAACTCAGGACTTTGACCTTGCTAGACACGCACTCTTACCACTTGAGCCACGCCCCCCCGCCCCGCCCAGTTCTTTTTGCTTTAGTTATTTTTCAGGTAGTTCTCACATTTTTGCCCTAGGCAGGCCTCAGACCACCATCCTCCCACCTTCCCACTTACAGCTTCCCACACAGCCGGATTGACAGGTGTGTGCCACTGTGCCCAGTCTCAGCACCTTTTCATATTCTTAAAGACCATCTTTCCTCACTTTGTAAATTGTTTGTTCATGCTTTTACTCATTTATTATTTGCTGCATTTATTAGGGTATCACATTACCTGTGATATGCCACCATCTGTTTAAAAGACTACTTCTTTTACTTTCCATGGTTTTTATCTAAAGCAACCAGATTTATCTAATTTTGATTTTATTGCCTCTGAAATTCTGAATCCTAGTTAGGCAGCTTTCCCCTACACTTAAGTTGTATGGGAATTTACCCATGTTTTCTTAGTGTTTACATGACTTAATTTTTGACACGTAAATGTCTGATCACTACAAGCTGATAAAGCTGATACATGAGTATGGCATTAAGTACAGATCTAATTTTAACTTTCCCCAAATGACTGTAATTTCTTGAAAACTTCTGGTTCTGGCCAAGAAAGAATAACTGGTAAAGAACCAGTCCTCCAAATAATTAAAACACTGAACAAAATATATGAACCATTTTCAGAGACTGAGACAACAGACACCAGTTTTGTCACATGGACACAACAGCCTGTGCAGGACTATGATAACTGCGACAAGGAGAAAAATGAGATGAGCCCTATGTCTGCCCAGCTTTCTGCCAAGAGGCAATTTCCAAATTGCAGCAGAGAAAAAGAGCCCAAAGAGAGAATGATTGCCAGCTATGGTAGTCATACCTATAATCCCAGCACATGGGAGGCTGAGGCAGGAGGATTGCTAACTAGTGAGACCCTGTCTCAAAAAGCACCCTCCCCTCCCCGCCAGAAGATCTCACTTAGCTGAAGCAAACACGAGAGTTCAGGGAAGCTGAATTTGTGAGGCAGAGAAATACCACAAAAAAACTCCCAAAAATATACATGGAACTGCCTCTAGTATTCATCTGCATGCATGTTGAATGAAACTTCACAAGGACACAAAACTACAAACAACTGTAGCAGTTGTGAGCTGAGAAAATGCAGAGCTCACACAGGGTTGGTAGTCCATGGAATTCTTACAAGCCAAAGTAGAGATCTATTGAACACTCAAATCACACAGGAAAGAATTCTGAAGTGGCTGGGCTAAATGAATCCTAGAGTAAAAGCTACTCCAGACGCACTAAAAGTATTTAACAACATGCCTAAAGAAGGTGCATGTATTTCCATAAGTAAATGAACTGCCTAGCTCAACAAAAGATAAAACCCAGTGGTCAATGATGTTTTTGGCATCAAATGAAAAGGTAGTAAGCATGTTCTTTGTAGAAATTGACAAGCCGATTCTAAGATTTCTATGGAAATGAAAACAAACCTAGAATAGTCAACTTTGAAAAATGACAAAGTTGGAGGATTTACATAGGATGATTTCAAGGCTTACTACAAGGCAAAAGTAATGAAGACTGTGTGGTACTAGTGTTAAAAATAGATATATAAACCAGTGGAACAGACTAGAAAGCCCAGAAACAGATCCGAGCACATGAGTCAACTGATTTTTGACAAAGCATCTAAGGTAAATCAGTGGGGAAAGGACAGTCTCTTCAACAAATGGCGCTGAGACAACTGGATATCCATAGGCAAAGAAATGACCCTCAACCCGTACCTCACACCATACACAAAATAACTAGAAATGAATCAGAGACGTAAGTGTAAAAGCCAAAACTATAAAACTCTAGTAGAAAACAAAGGAGAAAGTCCTTACAGGAAATATACAAAGATTGTTAGGACATAAAAAGCACAATCCATAAAGAAAAGGGAAAAAAAAATAGGACTTTATCAAATTTACAAGCTAGTCTTTGAAACACATCCTTAAGAAAATGAAAAAGATGCCATGGGTGGAAGAAAATATTCACAATACATTTATCTGACAGAGGACTTGTATTTCCAATGATAAGAATTCTTATAGTTCAATCATAACACAAACAATACAATTCAATCTTTAAATATGGGCAAAACATTTTAGATGAATGACCAGTAACACATGAAAAGATGCTAGAAATCATTAGCCATCAGAGAAGTACAACTTAAAACCAAAGGAAGACATTACTACATACCCAAAGAATGACTAAAATTAAAATATTTACAATGTCAAGTGCTAGTGAGAACAGGGAGCAGTTGGACAGTTTCTCATAAAATTAATACTTACTTACCATACAACCTAGTCATTCCAGTCCTACATATTTACCCAAGAGAAATGAAAGATGTCCACACAAATACTTGCACACAAATGTTCAGAGCAGTTTATTCAAGACAGCACAAAGGAAAGTAAACTGTTATATTCATACAACAAAATTCTACTCAGAAATAAAAATGAACTAATGATATATCTAAAAGGTTATTAGCCTCAAAAGATGTGCAGCGATACACAAGAATACATAATGTAGAACACATTTATTACAAATTCTACAACAGCAAAACTAACCTACATTGACAATAAGTAGTTCAGGGGTTACTTGAGCCAAAGGTGAGGAATGGGGCCTGACTACAAGGAGACCCAGGGAACTCTGATGAGAGAAATGTTTTATACCTTGATTAATGGACTGAGTGTGTGTTTATGTTTGTCAAAACTCATCAGACTGTACAAGTAAAAACAGACATATTTTACTGTTTATAAGTTATACTTTGCTACCTTTCCTATACAGAATCTTTTTCAAGGGGTTGAGAGAAGAATGTTTAATTTGATTCCAATTTTAAAACAGTCATGGGCGAAGGCATTACACAAATAATATGTAATAAAGAATACTTAAAATTGAGAATTGAAAAACCGACCCTTCAATTTGTTTAAGCTAGGAAATAAATAAGAGAAGACATCCTTATTCATGTCTAGCATGAGGAAAAACACACACTTTAAAGGTTACGCTGGCAGAATCCTCAGTGACGGACTGCAACGTTATTTCAAAGTCTCTTCCTCTTTGCAATGCCTCTTTCTGTTAGCAGGCTCTCTCTCTTTTCCAAAGTCTGACTATAATGTACAACACACAGAAGCAAACATTTTACACTTGTGCTCTAAACAATCTGAAGTTGTGTTTCACTGATATAGTCCGGCTCATTTTTCAGTTGTGTCAGTTAGCAGTGAGTGTGGAACAGCTCCCAACTCTAGATCTAAATGTATGGTGAAACAGTTTGCTACAGTGTACTGTCAACGACAACATTCTTTGAACCAGTAAAAACAGCTGAATTCACAGGTTATAAGTAAAATGTACTACCTTATTTTTGATCTTCAAATTTTACTCATTTAAGTGGTACTTACTGTTATTAACTTTTATATGTCATGAAGAAAATATCTAAAGCACCATTATAAAGTTAAAGAAAAACACAAATGCTTCTTACAACTGTGCTGTGCATCAGATACATGGAAAAAAATATTTATTAGCTTGATTTAATGCATTGCCAATATAAGCTTCTTCTCTGTTTTGGTTTTAACCATGAAATTTTGCTTCCATTCCACTAATAATTAAGTAAATTCATCCAACTGGGCCAATTATAATTAAACCTAGTTAACATAATGACAAAACATTTCAACCACCATAAAAACAGAATGGTAGCCATCAAGAAGCAGATACTCTTAGAATAAATCCTTCATGATTACAAGAGTCAGAACTTTGGACATAACTGTTTTAGCACCCTATCAGGAAAAGGAAAGCATTTTATCAAAAGATACTGAATTCCAACCATTACATAGCATTTCAGAAGGTCCCTAATAGGCTATCATGCTTGAGTTTTACTAATCATAAAAGGCAGTCACTTGTGAAAAACATCACACACATCAATTGCTGATCTTTACCAAGTTCAACTAAGTATTAGGACACTATCATTACCTTCCATTAATGCAGGTTACACTTCACATTAGTGTGGAACCTAAGTTTCACCTGTGCCTTACGGTCATTTTTCTGAACGCTTACATTTTTGTGACATTCCTTAAGCAAGTTAATCAAGATGTTGCATTCTTCAGTGTGCAAGTGTGGAGATAAGTCAGGATGCATCTCTAGGAGGTGATGGATCACAGCAGTGCAACCTGTGAATACAAGAACGTCTTGAATATGCATGAATATATTAGTGAATGTCACTACAACATAATATTCAGTAAGAACCCACAATAACTTTTATCAGAAAAGAATGTTAACCGTCAACCAGCTGTATGACCTTAGGCATGTTATTAAACTTGAGCTTCAGCTTCCTCATCTAATTATTTCACCTTCTGAAAATTGTCAATAGTGCTTAGAGAATCTGCAGGTCCAGAAGGAGAAAAGCAGGGATCTTGAAAGGAGCCAATCCTAGAAACAGGTGCTCAAGCAGAAACACCCTGCCTGTATTAGCAGTCAGCCTGACTTCAAATATTTCCTCCTGTTCCTGAATCTGATCGTCACTCATTGTTCAGTGCTGGGGATGGAACCCAGGGCCTTGCAAATTCTAGGCAAGCACTCCACCACTGAGCCACATTCCCAGCCTTGCCACTCATTTTGTTCAGATGAAATTCTACTAATTAAGAAAATTGGTTTATTATGTTAAAATGTATACTTCTGAGAGGGCCAAAGGGTCATCAGTCAGTATCACACTAGTAATTAATACAGACTGCTTTCTTTCTAACATCTGGCTGAGAAAACCCAACTCAACAATGAAATGAAGCAAGAAGCAAATGTGTCGTTTTTTCAAATTTAACAGATACACCTATAAAACTAATTATTACACTGAAAATAGGGGAAGCTAAAATCCTAAGTTTAATGGCTCATCCACAAAGTAGAAAATTAGTAGCCAGGGTCAAATGAAATACATTATTTTAAGATGTCTACAGTTATTATATAGTATTATTCAGCTATTCTTTTTTCAAATTATACTTTCTAAGTCAGAAAAAATTATCAAAAGAAAGAACCAATTAATTGTCTTAATCTTTTAAAGATTCCCAAGACGAAAACACAGGAACAACCTCACTTCCATTAAGAAGGCTACTAACAAAGAAACAGAAAATAACAGGTGCTAGAAAAGCAGCAGAGAATCTGGAACCCTTGTGAACTGTTGGTGGTAATATAAAATAGTACAGCCACTGTGGAAAATGACACGTGGTTAGTGGGGAAAAAAAAAGAAAGAAATACATCCCAGCATTTACACTAGGTATATTCCCCAGAGAACTGAAAACAGAGTCTTAAAAAGATATTGACACATCTATGTACATATCACATCATTCACAACAGCGAAGACAAGCAACCCAAGTGTCCACAGACAAATGAATCAATAAGCACAATGTGGTATAAACATATGACAGGATATTCTTAAGCTTTACATAGGAAGGAAATCCTGACGTGCTACATGTTAAGCATTGATAAGCTTTGAGGACATCATGCTAACTGAATGAAATAAGCCAGTCTCAAAAATCCCAATACTGTACAATACCACTCATATAAAGTACCTAGAAAGGTCAAAATCATCAGTAGAGCTCCAGAGGCTCACGCCTGTAATCCTAGCTACTCAGGAGGCAGAGATCAGGCGGATCGTGGTTCAAAGCCAGCCCAGGCAAACAGTTCACAAGACGAAATCTCGAAATCTCAAAAAAAAACCCATCACAAAAAAGGGCTAGTGGAGTGGCTCAAGGTGTAGGCCCTGTGTTCAAACCCCAGTACTGCAGGGGGAAAAGAAAAAGAGTCAGAATCATATATACAGAAAGTAAAATGGTGGTTGTCTAGAATGAGGGGAGGAACAGAATGAGGAGTTACTGTTTAATGGGTAGAGTTTCAGTTTTACAAGATAAAAAGACAATCAGAGAGAGATAGTAGTGATGGTTGCACAACACTGTGAATGTGTTTGATACTAATGTACTGTATGTTATATGTATGTTACTATAGTTGGGAGGAAGAAAAGGGGGCGGGGAGAGAGAAAGGAAGGAAGCAAGCAAGCACATAGGAGAAAAGACCTTAAGTGGGGCTCTTAGATACATCAAAAGCGTGACTCATACAATTAAAAAATGCTATCTCACCAAAATTAAAATCTTTTGCACTTCAAAAAAACACCATTAAGAAAATGAAAAGTCATGTTTTGGGAGATAGTAATGTGCCTGTTTCATCAGCTGTAATAAACGTACCACGCATTCAATGTTCACAGCTGTGCATGAGTCGAGGAAGGGGGTGTGGGATCTCTACTTTCTGTTCAACATTATTATGAGCCTAAAACTGCACTAAAGCATAAAATCTATTATAACAAACAAAAGACAAGCCACAGACTAGAAGATATTTGCTAATTATATATAATAAAGGATTTGTAGATTTGTGTCCAGAATATACAAAAAAAAAGTTTACAATTCAATAGCACAGCAAACAATCCAATTTGTAAGAGACCCAAAAGATGAGTAAAAGTTTTGAATTGCTATTTTACCAGATATAGGAACAATTAAGCACATGAGATTAGTTAATTAAGCTCAGCACCGTCAGTCCTCAGAGAAACGCAAATTAAAATTATAAGCTACCAATGGCAGAACTACAGCCAGATATCCCTTTCTCTGCTTCACAGCCTGAAGTATCCTAAGTCAAGTATGCATTCAATATACCTAACCTACTGAACACCACAGCTCAACCTAGCCTCCCTCAAACCTGCTCACAGCACTTAATGAGCCTACAGTGGGGCAAAATCAAACACAAAGCCCATTTTATAATGAAGTGTTGAGCACACGTGTAACTGGCTAAACACTGAACTGAAAGTGAAAACTGAACTCAAAGTGAAGGAGGATGGTTAATGGGTACTCACCATTAACAGACACAGCTGAAAACACATTGGGCATGAAGAACGTGTGAGGCACTGAACTAAAACTAACTGCTGGATGATGTGGATGCTGCAGCCACAGGGTTATCAGGTTCTCTCTCCTCTGATGAGACTGGAGAATAGCTGGTGGAGAGCAGGGGAGCACTGACACTTGTTGACAGGTTAGCAGGTGTAGTGTGTTTCACGAAGATACCATGTTTTGACTGTATAGTTTGTTTCTTCTCACTGTATATTTCTCTATAGCAAGCAAGAGCGTCCTGTACCTGCCCGTCAACTCTTGCAAACCTCTCATAATTGCCATCCATCGCTTCTAGCATCCGCATACCCCTACTGATAGTGGCAAAAGCTTCTGCCAGTTTTCTTGCTGTGAACTCTCTGGGTGCCTTGGGTATAACATCTTCCTCTGCTTTAATTTCTTTACTTCTTCCTTCCTCCAGTTCAACCAACCCCTCACTGGAAATCTCTTCAGTCTTAATGCTGACAATCTCATGAACCTCCTCTTCATTGATGTCCAATTCTAGCTGCTTCCCAAGAGCTAGGCACTTGTTGCTTACCACTTCATCAATAGCATGGTCTTTGTGAAAGCCCTTGAATGTGTTCACATACGTCTTCAAAACTTTATTCCAGATACAGTTCATGCACTGCTGTGTGACTTCTTCCCATGCTGCAGCAATGTTCTGGATAGCATTTAGAATGTTAAAACCTTTCCAAAACTCCAGGAGCGTCTGGCCACATTCGCTGGCTCTGACGGCCTGTGCAAATGTCTGGCGTAAATAGTGTGCCTTGAAAGCAGCGATGGCACCTTGGTCCATTGGTTGAATGAGTGTGGTTGTGTTCATCGGCAAGTACACCACTTTTACATCAGGATGCATGTCACGGATATGTTGTGGATGCCCGGGAGCATCATCTAAGATCAAAAGAATCTTGAATGGGATATTGTTTTGCCTACAACATTCTCTTGCCTGAGGAATAAAACAATTCAAAAACCAGTCTTCGAACAGTGTTGACGTCATCCACGCTTTCTTGTTATGGCGATAATCAACAGGAAGTGTGTGCTTGCTCACATTCTTGAATGCTCTAGGGTTCTCCGAGTGGTAGATTAGAAAAGGCTTTAATTTGAAACCTGCAACATTTCCACCCAAAAGCAGAGTTACATGGTCTCTGAATCCTGGTATCATCTTGGACTCTTGGTGAATGTATGTACACTCTGGCATACGCTTCCAGAACAAGCTTGTCTCGTCGACATTAAATATTTGTTCTGGTAAGTATTTCTGATCTACAATTATCCTGTGAAGCTCTTCCTTAAAAGCCTCAGCACATTCAATATCGGCACTTGCTGCCTCACCACTAACCTTCACAGTATGAAAATTATGACGCTTTTTAAAGCGCTGGAACCACCCATGACTTGCCGTAAACATTTGTGTGTACGTAGGATCAGCATGCTCTTTTAGCATATTGAAAAGACTTCGTGCCTTAGCCTGGATCATCAGCAGGCTCAGTGGTGTGCGCTTCTGCATCTGCTCTTCTATCCACTCAACGAGTAACTTTTCCATATCATCTATGGGCCCAGCCCTTTTCTTCGTGATGACAGTGGACTTCACTGATGCTGACGATTTCACTGCATCACTGATTCGCTTCTTATCCTTTAAGATGGTCGAGATGGTGGACTGTGAAAATCCTGACTCACGTGAGATGACCATTACTGGCTTGCCACCTTCATGCTGGGCAATTATTTTGAGTTTCATCTCAAGAGTAATTGCCTTCCTCCTCTTCTTTTCACCAGAAGCAGAAGACGCAGATGGGCGTTTTGTAGACATCATGGGATTCACAAACACAAAACACGATATTCAAAAAACCAGAGTACTCGTGATCACAAGGCTGACCGGGAGCTACAGCTGGCTGCCCAGTGTTGAGAGAGCATAGTACTGCATATCACCAACCAGGGAAAAGGTCAAAATTCGATGAATGGTTCCTACTGAATGCACATTGCTTTTGCATCATTGTAAAGCTGGAAAATCTTAAGTCGAACCATCATCGTTAAGTCAGGGACAGTCTGTAATCAAAAAGTTAGACAATACCAAGCATTGGTTAGGATGTGGAGAAACTGGACCTCATGCATTGCTACTGCAGATGTGCAATAGCACAAGACATTCTGGAAAACAACTGAGCAGTTAAGAAATAAAATTAAGCTTACTATATGACTCAGCAATTGCACTCTTAGGCAACTACTCAAGAGAAATGAGAACACAGATTCACCCAGAGACACAGGTGAGACTAATTCATAATAGCCAATACTGGAAGCCATCCAAATAGCTGATAATTAGGTAATGCATAAACAAAATATGGTTTATCTATGTAAAGGAATAGTATTTGCCAACTGAAAGGAATGAACTACTGAACTACTCTAGTACTGATGAATCTCAAAAGCCCTTCACTAAATAAAAGCATCCAGATGCAAGACCACATATTGTATGACTCCACTTACATGCAATGTCCAAAAAGGGTTAAGTTTATGGAAACAAAAACCAAGTCACTTGTATCTAGGCCTGAAGGTGAGAATGGGGGTTAACTTGTAAATGGGCACAAAGGAACCTCTTTGGGTGACAAAATTGTTCTAAAACTGTGTTGTGGCGATCCCACTATTCTACACACTTGCTAAAATCACTGAATTCTCTTGCAGTGGGTGAATTTTATATGTAAAGTATACCTCAATAAATCTGTCTTTAAAAAAGTTCTGAGAAATTCAAATTGCTATCCCACTCCCAACAAATAAAAAAGTCTAAACAAATAATTCCAAAGGCTTAGAGCATGGCTACACCACACACACACATACACACACACACACACACACAAACCCCACTCCCCATAGCTAAAGATTACAAATCAGGCTATTCCACACAGCTAAGATTTATTTGAAATAGAGAATGAAAATACAGTCAAGTTCAAGTTTTATTTGCCCAGCGCTACAGTCCCTTCTAATGACATATACTTTGCTGCTTCAGAAGCATGAAGTTTCACATAGCTCAGCAATGTAAGTCATCTAATACATTTAATATGATCTGGAAAATGTTAATATTTTTATTTCATAAATGTATTTAACAAAATATTTTTGTATATTTCTATCAGCCAGTCCTAAAATTTGTGCATTTACAGTTCACAAAAGCTGAAATGAGCTCTAATTGGCAAAGCAAATACAGATGGTCTCCGACTTTTGACAGTTCAACTTACAATTTCTCCACTTTACAATAGTGCAAAAACCAATACACGCTCAGAAAGAGTAGTTTAAGTTTTGACCTTTTCCTAAGCTAGGAATATGCAGTATGATATTCTGCTACTTGCTTTTGATGCTGGGCAGGCACAACCAATCCCAGTTCTTGGTCAGTCACATGATCATGATGGGAAAGGACCCATACTCCTGTGTGCATGATATTCAACTCTTACTAAATATGGGCTGTGTTAAAAGAATGTGTCCAACTCTGGGCTAATGTCAGCATTCTGGGCATATCTGAGGCAGGTTAGGCTAAAAATAACATTCAATAGGTTAGGTTAGTAAATGCACTTTTTTGTAGTGCTGGGGATCAAACCTTCATGATACTAGGCAAGTGCTTGCTCTACTGCTGAGCTACATCCCTCACCCCTCAAATGCATTTTTGAGTTACAATATGTTCAATTTACATTGGGTTTATCTGGATATAATCCCACCAGAAGTCAAGAAGCATCTCTACCTGAGAAGACACTTGGTTGCTAAGGTAACATGCACGTGCACATAGATACATAGATATATTTGTCCTCCCTCCGTAACAAAACTTTACTTCAAAGCTGCATGCCAGAGTGCCAGTAAGCGCCTCCCTCCACTTTTATTTATTTATTTATTCATTTGTGAAACTGGAGTTTGAACTCAGGGCTTCATGCTTACAAAGCAGGCATTCTACAGCTTGCTCCACACCTCCAGCCCATGTTGCTTTGGTTATTTTGGAGATAGGAGCACAAAAACTATTTGCCCTGGCTGACCTAGAATGGAGATCCTCCTGATCTCACCTCCCAAGTAGCTAGGATTGTAGACATGAGCCATTGACAGCCAGCATTAAATTTTATTTTTAGTTGACAAATAAAAAGGGTGTGTATGTGTGGGGCTCTTCTAATTTCTTATCCTAGATGACCATCTCGAAGAATAAAATGGGTTCATTTAGTTCCCTTCTTCTATTCTTCTTGGTAAGAAGCTACTGCTTAACCTTAAGTTTTAAACAGGGACCCTTATCTAATAAATACCTTGCTCTACCAATCATTGCCTTCTTTCCTCCACATCTTTTAGCTGGGTATTCTCTCCCTTCCCTTTCTGTCTACTCACCCTTCTCCTTGCCCCTCCTCCATCCACCCTGTGTCACCTATTATTGCCTAAATGTTGGCACAAACACAAATATACCACTGCCCTCTTGGGTATAACATATAAAATATGATCATAAAATAACAGCACTGTTCTCCCAAAACATGTTTAAGTGCTGATTCCCTCCAGTAGTCATCTTCCTACTCTAATAACACTATTATAACTCAAGGGATATTTTATAAACTGAAATCTAAACATATATTCTATTTTGACAATTTCTTCAAAGTCCTAAGAAAGCATCAACATTATTAAGAAAATAATCTGTTGAACACTTACCATGTGCTAGACACAAGTCTTACAATGCAACAACCATACGAAGTGAATACTCTTTTAAATTCAGTTGACTCAAAACAAATTGCTTTTTTGTAGGTCAAAATATGTGTTACCCATATTTTCACAGGAAAACTAAGTGGCAGCATCACCACCCAACAGTCTCTCACTCTGACAGATTTTTGCCTTCATAAGCAGTATGTGAATAAAATCAATTCAGAAATAAAACTATTTCCCAAAGGACCTCTGCTTGGCTACAAGTTCATGGGCACTACTTCTAGACCTGAGTTACAAAGAAGTCCATGTGCTATCATCCTGCACCAGAAATGAAAGGTCTGTCTAGCTCAAGAAAAAAGCATTGTCCTTGTCCCTGGTCAAGTCATCCAGAGTACTGTCAATCTGAACATTCCTCACGGCAGGGCTCAGGATGAAATGAATCTGACACTAGATTTAAACAGAAACCCACTGATGAATCTGGGAATGTTTATCAACTTAGACAAGTCCACAATAGAGAAGATAAAAAAAAAAAAAAAGAAACAGCCTGGTTCACTAGGACAGTGAGTTTGAAAGAAGATGACATAGGTTGGAAGACAAAATTGTGGACTTACCTATTCTTAAGGTATGTCACGTTGGCTACTAATCTGACACATATGTCTCTTCCACAAAATGGAATTAGCTCTTGATCTGTATCTCATGGGGTTGAAACAACACACGTGGGTGAATACGAAATAGCAAACAATAAGTATGCCATAAGTAAAGTAGTATTTGTATATCTGAAATTCTTAGTCATATGAGAGGAAAGGCTGAACTGAATTAACACTGTGATGGGTCTGAGGACAACACTGTAAACCAAAGGGTAAAATTACAAAAGCCAATATCCTCTTCATGGAGTTGCCCGATAAGGAGTCACGCTGCTGTGTGAAGCTCTAACATGCCCAAAAGAGAGTTGGCTACATCAATTACGGATGCTATATTCCTGTACTGCAGTCTTAGGTTTCTTCTCAAATGTAAGTTCATAATTAAATTATTTTAAGGCACTTCCAAATATAAAATGCAAGTCCCGAGGATAAGTATTTGCTACTACTAAGAATATTGAAGGCCCTGGATTTAATCCCCAGCATCACAAACACATAAAAAAAAGAATACACAAAACAGTTTCAAAGGGGGTGGTGCCAAAGTAATCCAGCAGCACTGTTGAAACAACATTCATTTGTGAAAAGACCTCGTGCACAGGTGTTTGCATCCAAACTGTATTAAATACAAAACTACAGTTCCACCAGTAGTCATCTTTAAAAGCCAATTCTAATTATATTATTATAACTTGAAATATTTTTACAAACTGAAGAATATGTAGTTAAATACAAAACTTTAATCCCACCTTTACACTGGTGTTTATAAATCATCAGAAGGGCATACTTACCACCTACTTCTTCACAAACAGTACACACACAATGACACCAGAACAGTCCAATGAAACTTTTAAAATGTTCAGCTATGAAAACCTCATATTTTGACATCTGGCTAACACAGGCAGCTAACAAAGCAATTTTAACTTTCCCATGGGGATAGGGTGGGAGGATAGACGGCAGAAGGGTATTCTTCAGTGAAGATATAAAAATTACAGTTTTGTTTTGATCTACTACAATTCAGGTAAAACTTCCCTAAGTATTCTATGATAAATAGCAGACTTCAACCACCAGGTGGCAGAATTTTAGAAACTAAGAAAGGGATAAGCATTCTCTGACACACTTTGGCAGACCTAAAATCACAAGGGGGACCCTATATTCTAATGTCAGATGGTTTTTCTTTCTGGTAGTACCGGGGGCTAAATACAGGGCCCTGTGCATGCTAGGCAAGCATTCTACCACTTGAACCATGCTGCCAGCTCTTTTTGCTTTGGTTATTTTTGAGATAGGGTCTCCCTTTAGGCCTGGGCAAACTTGGACCACTATCCTTCTATTTGTGCTTCCCTGCATAACTGGGATGAAAGACGTGTGCCACCATGCTCAGTTATTAGTTGAGGTGGAGTTTTGTGAACTTTATGGTCAGGCTGGCCTCCAACCACCATCCTCCCGATCTCTGTCTTCCAAGTAGCTAGGATTAAAGAATTGGGTCACTGCACCCTTCTTGGTTTTTTCTTTACAAAGATTTTGTTATTGGGTGGCTGCATCAGAAAGAAATTTATACTACAGTTGCAATTTCTAATGTCATTTTTAAATAAGCAATAAAAAAAGCCAAAGCCAAAAAACTCTCTTGTTCAGTCTGTACAATCTGGTATGCAGGAAAAACTGTAAACTAACACTAGTGCTTTCTTAAATGTATCTTTTAAAAGCCTAGATTTCAGAAAGCCCTGATTTTCCAACTATGAACCATACTGCAGCAGAAGCACACATAGCAGGTGACTGCCCACTCTACCCCTTTATGTACTTATCACAGCCACAAAGTGACCAAATTTAAACTATCACTCCTAGGGTAGAGACCGTACCACATTGCTATTCCATTCCAGGGTTGCCTAGGAATTCCATTCCAGGGCTACTGTCACCTGCACTACACAGCTTCTCCCAAACAATCATTTATCAGTACCTAGAAGTCACTGAGTAATCTGTTCTGTGAATTTCAGAGAAAACCTTAGTCCATGCATGCGGAAGAACACACAGGCTAGTGGGAGTATTCTAGGAAATGCACAATAAATGTTTCTATGATGATCAGAGACTGAGAATTAGTTTACAACACGATATACTGAGAGGTTGCAAAGATGGGGGGTTTTGTTTGTTATGTGGAGCTGCCTCAACATGCATGCGGCTGAGCTACATCCCAGCTCCATGAGACTCACTTTTGTTTTTAAAGCTGTATCGTACAGATTTTTTTTTCATTTTTTTATTAATACATATTCATTGTACAGCCTTATATTGTATGGTGGTTAGATCTCCCCACAACCCCTCCCATCCCACTTAAAGCAATTACAAGAGGTTTCATCATTCTATTTCATGTATGAATATGAAGTCCATCAACCATATTCCCTCACCTTCATCTCCATTCACCCTCCTCCCCTTCCACAAGTATTCCCCGCCCCAACACACACACACACACACACACACACACACACACACACACACACACACACACACACAGTACCTATTTTACAGTCCTGCCTTTTATCTTTAATTCCAAAGTTAAATGTTGGAAGGGGTTTTTCTCCAAGTACCCCTGTGGTGAGTTTAGTCAGTTCAAGCCCCTGTTACTCTCTCCCTTACCCCCTCCCTCCCACCCCATTATTCAACAGCTTTCAATACATACTCTTATACCCTCACCTGCACAGATGTACTGCACTTCCATATTGTTGACGCGCTATCAATCCTTTCCCTCCTCCCGAGTGCCAGAGTAGTTCCACTATACCAAATACATAAACGTGTATGTGATCATATTTGGTTTTGTGTATATGTTTGTCCTTTGGATCTATCTTCCACATATGAGAGAAAACTTGGTCTTTGTCTTTCTGAGCCTGGCTTACTTAACGTGATGTCCACCAATTCCATCCATTTACCTTCAAACCACATAGTTTCATGAGGTTCATTTTAAGTCAACTAAACAAGGGCAAAGGTCTGTACCTGTGGGAGACATAAAGGGTGTCACAACGAAATTCCTGTGATAGTGCAAACTTGTATACATTTAAAGTTTTAAACGGAGGCTTCCAAAACTTCAGTTTACTTAAGACTGCATAAAACGTCTACTGTGAAAGCACAAGCACGGTCATCTTGAAAGTCCACAAAAAGGATCTGAAAGGTTCTTCCCCTGACCAGAGGACCGATGAGGGGCTTTGGGATGCGTACAAGCCCCACGCGATGGGTTCTTTCCACCCATTACAGGCGCGTAGGGCAGAAGGCTAGCGAGTGGCGGGGAGACCCCAGCACAGTGACATCTAATGACTGCTGTTAACCACTACCGTGTCCGCAGCAAACGCCCCGAGGGCAGAGATCTTGGCACGCACCCCAACACACCCGACTCCCAGCGCGGGCGGGGCCGTGTCAGCCATGCCCAGCCCGCCAGAGGCCCGGCGGGACACAGCAGGGCGCGCGGTCAGGGCACGGAGGGACTAGGGGCGCCCGCTGCCTCCCCGCACTGGCAGCCTAGGGCCGCTCGTCAGAACCGCCCGGCCTCCCCAAACTCACCGACGATTAGCCACACCGGAAGGGGTGCGGCGGGAATCACGAACCGAGACCGCGACCCACAGCCTGCAGCTCCACCTAAAGTGAACGCCCTCACGACCTCCACCACTACCCGGCTCGGCCCGCCCCGCCTGCAACGACCTTTGAGGCGCATGCGCCACCCCGCCTGGACCGACCCATTCTCCAAGCGCGGAGGGGGGAGGAGGGCGAGTCCACTGCAGCGCGGCAGCGCCTAAGCAGCAAACTGCACAGACAAGGCAGGATTCCTGATCGAGGCTACAGCTAATTGTTCAATTTCCTGTCCTGCGAAGAGTGATTTGGGATCTCGGCGAGTTTCACTTCTGTCTCTCCCCCAGCAAGATACCCTGCATCCAGGAAGTAGTCCAAAAGCTGATCTCGGTGGGCGGAGCTTGAGGCGGCGGCAATTGCCATTGGGGACTTTGAAGGCGCCTCGGCGGGAACTGCTGCTGAGGAGACGGCTGGAGATGTGGGCCGGTAAGAGATCCCCTGGCCGCAGGGGATCGGGCTCGGAGGCTGGTGGGAACCTTAAAGAAACAGTATTCCAGAGCTCTGGGGAGGCTTTTCTGCAACTGCCACCCGTCTCAAAGCGTAGGATTGGCGTTGGGTCTCGGTCTAGGGGTGGACGGCTATATTTGAGGCCAAGGTGGGAGAGGGCATTGATGCTTTCCGTGACGTCATTTCCGCCATTAGTGGGGCGGGGCCTTGGGGCGCGCGTCTATGCGAAAAGTGTGCTGGATGGTCAGGTGACAGGTCGCTACATTCCCTCCAGGGGTTCTGTCTTGCCGAGAACTGGGGTCTTGTTTTGATCTTGAGATCCCTTGGCTTCCGTCCTATTTTGTTGAAGCAGTTTCATGCATTACTCTTCATGCTCCCAGTGTAGCAGTATATGTCTACAGAAACGCTGCTTAAAAGGGATCTTTTTGTCATGCATTCGTTCAGCGAACATATCGGGCACTTACTCTATGCCAGGCACTGTGCTAAAGCCCTAGGAAGTAAAAGAAAATCTAAAAGCTCATCACAGAAGAGAAGTTTATTAAAGGGCTTACTAACTTTGCCGGTGAGATTAGGTATGCTCTTTCTGCTGGGTTCCTTTAGAATTGCATTCTGCAGACTCTACAATAATTTTAAATCATCTGAAGTGCTCTCTAAAAATGCTAACTCATGCCTTCCTTACATGCACCCTCCCCCCAGTTTAACTTGAGGAGCCCAGGGGTCTTCACTTGGAAAGCCTTCCCAAGTGTTCTCAATGGGAGAAGTGTTACTTTGATATTTCTCTGTTGCACCCTAATCCTTCCTGGGCTATTTTCTCACTGCTCAGGGAGAGCATCCAGTCATTCACTGGATATGTGAGTACATGTGAGATGGTTCTTGGGGTGACTAGACTGACTGACTGGACCCACACTAATGTAGATTCTAGGGGTGTAGCTATTAATAAAGCAAGCCTAGTCCCTGCCCTGAAAACACAATAAAGTACTGTGGATACAATAAAATAATAAAGCTAATTTCAAATAGTTCTTTCAATAAAATAAGCAGTGGAAGGTCAGGAAATAACTTTTGATTGGATTGTCAGAATAAATGTCTGAGGAAAAGGTAGGCTGGAGTAACTGCAAGAACAATGGCCCATCTCCAGAAGGATTGTTTTGTCTTACAGAAACTAAGACATCAGTATAGCTGGAGCTCATAAGGCCAAGGAGAGGGCAGCAAGGGCCTGACAGTACAGGGTCTTATAGACCATGGTGAAGATTTTACCCTTCACCTTAAGGCAGGACGCTCCTGTAACAAGACAATGCAACAAAGCCAACTCCATTTTATGGTGCTAATTCTGTTCCCACGATCTTAACTCAGTTATTTTTCTCTTCCTAAACCATACCCAAGCATTCCACTTAGTGTCTGTTTTACTACCATTTTCAGTACCTTTTAAAAACACAGTCAACTACACATATCTTTTTGAAGTAGGCAATGGTAGTGAATTATATTCAGTGTTTAAGATGCACTTAAGATAACAGATATAAGTCTCGGTCAGGATTCTCGTAGGGAATATTTTTGTTCACCCTTGGGAATCCCCAGGTTGTGAGGAAAGCAGATGAGGATGACAGACTGACTTCAGCCTTTTGTCTTAAACATGGACACCAAGTCCTGTGTGTTCTGTGTGCTCCTTCATCAAAGACAGGCTGTTAAGGGAAGTTAAAGTCTGTAGGTAGCCTGCTTAAAATTTATGTAGAAATCGTGCCACTGAGTTTGATGGTACATAATTGTAATCCCAGCTATACGGGAGGCAGAGATAGAGGGACCTTGATGTAAGGTCAGCCCTAGGCAAAAATCGTAAGATCCTATCTGGAAAAAAAAGAAAAAGGAAAAAAGGACTGGGGAGCATGGCTCAAGTGGTAGAGTGCTTGCCTAGAAAGGCCCCAAGTTCAAACTCCAGTACTGCCAAAAAGAAAAGAAATACTTGCTTACATTTTACATACTGTATTTAAAGAGAGACATCAGTGTCCCAAAATGAGGCAGCAGAGTAGGATGAGCTATCACCCTACAGATGCAGAATGATACCCCACAGAGACCACAGCAGTGCCCCCTGTTTGCACTTTGATTTTCCGTACTTTCACTTGCCCCCAGTCAACAACAGACTGAAATACCACATGGAAAGTTCCAGCAGTGAATAATCCATAAATTTTAAGGCACTTTCATTACTTTGGCTGCACCACAGTATGGCAGAGGGCTTCGTGATGGGACCTGATGAGAGGCATGCAGCATAGACAGGAGAGAGAGAATGTGACTAAGCAAGCAAGAGTGTGAGTGAAGAAAGCCAAACCCATTCTATGTGTCTGTCTGTGTGTATGTGTGTAAAATACTGAAGACAAGGTCTCACCATGTAGCTCAGCCTGGCCTTGAACTTGCCGTCATCCTGTCTTAGCCTCCCCAGGGCTGGGATTATAGGCAAGCACCACCATGCCTGGTTTATAAGCTATTCATAAGGGAACTAATCCAGTCCCACTAGACTGACCCTTGAACAGGTAATAACCCCTTCTGAAGGTGATACCTCAGGAACCTAACCACCTTGAACTGGGCATCCACCCCTTACAGGTCCACCACCTCTCATTACCCTCATATCTAGGACCAGATTCTCAGCACATGAACAGTGGGGGGCAAACCCTACCCAAATCATAGTGGCACTAATTTTTTAAAAACTAAAACATTTACATCTGCAGCATAAAGAGAAAATAATTAAATCCTCACGCTGAAACACTTTGCAATGCATCTGAAGGAAGGTAATCAGCTGGTCATTTGACCTCCAAAGCAAATCCTGATGAAAAATATGATGCTTAAAAATTCAGCTCAGTTGCTGTATTTGATTTATACTTTGTTGTACTCTTGTGGGTTTTGTTGTATTAAAGTGCCAAAGAGATGGATGAGACTGTTGCTGAGTTCATCAGGAGGACCATCTTGAAAATCCCCATGTATGAAATGGTGACAATCCTCAAAGCCTGGGATTTTTTGTCTGAAAACCAGCTGCAGACTGTGAACTTGCGGCAGAGAAAGGAATGTCTGGCTCAGGACTTGATTCTGCTATGTGAGGTAACCATTCAGAATGATAAGCTTGAACAGCATGGTACCCCTTTGGGGTTTTTCTTTCTTTCCTTAGTCCAAAAGGGACCTAAGATAACTGCTTGATTATTTGTAAAGTGAAGAAACTACTTTTTTGCAGGGGTGGGGGGTGGACTGGAGTTTGAACTCAGGACTTCATGCTTGCCAAGCAGGCACTCTTCTGCTTGAGGCACACCTCCAGTCCATTTTGCTCTGGTTATTTTGGAGATGAGGTCTCGTGAACTATTTGTCAGGACTGGCCTCAAACCTCAATCCTCCCAATCTCAGCCTTCCAAGTTGCTAGGTTACAAGGCATGAGCCACAGGCACCTGGCAAAGAAACTAATTTTTGATTGTTTTTTTTTCAACTAATACAGAATGCTTATAAATCAGTAAGAAAAAAAGCAAATACCTATGGGAGAGGAGAAAAATCAGTACAAGTTAAAATACTAAGGAGTATTTTTTTAACCTACCCATTTCAAAGATGAAAAGAAGAACAAGCCTGGTACAGTGTCCATGCTACAATCTCAGCACTTGAGAACTGAGGCAGGATGACAGTGAGTTCAAGGCCATCCTGGGCCACAGAGTGAGGCCCTGTCTTTAAAATAATAATACTCATTGCTTCTCGGCCTTTTGGCTAAGATCAAGTGTAGTATCTGTTCTTATCAGTTTAATATCTGATACGTCCTCTATCTGAGGAAAATATATTAAATGGATTTTTAGAACAGGGAGGTGGAATAGGGGCTGCTCCATCCACTCCACACATCAACCTGGTATTGCAGTACCTCCAGGAGCAATGCACCCTCTGGGGGACTTAAAAAAGAAAAGAAAAGAATAATATTCAAATGTGTTGGCAAAGCTGTGAAAAAAGAGATGTTACCTCTTTCATGTATGTTTACTTATTTGCATTTTATTTTTTAATGATTTCAGATTATTAGAAAAGTTGCTACCACAAAGAATTCTCATATGCCAGTATACCCTTCCCTTGTTCACTTTTAAATAAATACACTTTTTGACCTAGCAATCCTACGCTGCTAGAAAAATAATCCTTTTCTTAGAAAATAACTAGAAGTAATGTATATATTGTGTTTCTTAATATTTAAATATATATTTAACTATAGAAATAGATAAAAAGAAACTGTAGCATTGCTTAAAAACAAAAAATTGGGAACAACTATGTAGGAGGTTGGATGAATTATGATATAGCCAATGACAAAATATTCTTCAGTCATTAAAAAGAGAGATCTCTGTGTGCAACATTGAAAGAAGCTACATAGTACACATACACATAAGTGCCTGTATATAAAGCAGGGGTTCCCAGGGGGACGATTTTTGTCCCCTAAGACAATTGGCTGTGTCTGGAGACATGTTTGATTGTTAAAACTATGTGTGTGCTGAGGAGGGGGGTTCTACTTGCTTCTACTAGGTGGGGGCCAGGGCTATTCAACATCTAAGACAGAATTATCACACCCAAAATGTCAACAGTGCTGGGGTTGAGAAACCATGGAAGTCTGGAAGGGTACCTACCAGACCATTAACTGTGGTTGGCCCAAGGAGCATGAGGGTAGGGAAGACAAGAGTGACACTTCTTATTGTGCCCACTGCTAGGTTATGCTCAATATAAAAAAAAAAAACACATGACTTTTGCCAGGTATGGTGTTACATCTCAGCACTCAGGAAGCTGAGGCAGGGCTACATAGGAAGACCGTGTCTAAAAATAACAAAATATTATATTATGTAAGTATAAACTTCTTACAGAAAAAAATATATATTCCCCTCACACACAAACTGAACCCACATCTAAAACCATCACTATTTAATAATGTCATGTAGAACTTTAAAATCGGAGTAGAATGAACATTGATGAAGATTGTAAAGCTTGGCATTAATATTGCTGGCGAAGTGGCTCAAGCAGTAAGAGCACCTGCCTAGCAACCATGAGGCCCTGAGTTCAAACCCCAATACTGCAAAAAAAAAAAACACTATTACTCTTGTCCCAACCTCCAAGGGTACCAACTACACCAACTTGTAACGGCATAGATTAATTTTGCCTGCTTCTATACTTTAAATGGAATCATACTTTCTCTTCTTTTGTGTCTGGCTTCTTTCACTAAACCTTCTGGTTGTTGTGATATTCAGCCCCACTGTGGCATGTCATAGGTTGTTGGTTATCATTGCTGGATTCTGTTATGTGAATAGCCAATTCATTTATCCACTCTGCTCTTGATGGGCATTTTGATAGTTTCAAGGATTTGACAATTGTAATAGTGCAGTGCTTAGTGAGCATGGGTGCTCAGTCCTGGTACATAACACCAAGGGTTTTCCAGAGGGGGTTTCGCAGGTTATATACACAGGTGTGTGGTCCACAATCACTGGTCAGTGAACCAAGCTGTTCCCACAAGCATTTGTACAACATTGCACTCCCACCAGCAGCGTATGAAAATTCAGCTCCATGTCCTTATTATAGTCAGCATTTTCTGTCCTTCCCATTTTAATACTTGGTAGGCATGTAGAGGTTTTTCACTGTTGTAATTTGCATTTCACTGATGACAAATGAAGTAAAGAACTATTTCATATTTATTAGCTACTTGGATATTCTCTTGTGTTATCTATTTGATCTTTTGCTCATTTTTCTATGGATTGTCTTTTTCTTCTACATACAGTCTAAGCAAGTCCTTTATATTTTCTTCTAAGCTGTGTTTGCCTTTTCACTGTCTTTTTTGTTTTGTTTTCTTGTGCTGCAGACAGAACCCACATGCTAGGCAAGTGCTCTACCACTGAGTTTCATCCCCAGCCTTCTTTTCATTCTCTTAATAATGTCTTTTCATGAACAGAGGTATATCCAAATTTTTTAATATTTATAATCATAGTTCAGCATTTTCCCATAAAATGTAGCAGATTAAACAGGCATTTTTCACTGCACTTTGCAAAAACTCAATAAAATAGCAATAAAGGGATTTTTTTTTTAACTTAAATTCCCAAGCCCTGGGAGAAAAGGAAGCCACAGTAGGTAAGAGATGTCAACGAAACAGAACAAGTAATAACTAAATTAGTAGAGCAGAGTAGAAGTCTAGCTACTTTACTACCTACTCTTCCAGCAAGTGAAGAGAAGGGAATACTTCCCAACTCATTCTGTAGGGCCAGCATTCCCCTGACAGCAAGACAGTACAAAAAAAGAAAACCACAGGTCACTATCTCTCATGAGCATTGATGCAGTTCTCAACAAAGTTTTAGCAAATCATGTCCAACATATTGGAAGAGTAATCCATAATGACCAAGTAGAATTCATCTTAAGAATGAATGGTTGAGCATTTAAAAATCAGTGACTGCTTCACCATGTCAACAGAATAAAAATACACACCATCGTTCTGATTAATAGGTACAAGAAAGGAAATGCCCAGTCTTTAAGAAAATTTAGCAAACTAAGAATAGAAAGAATCCTTTTAAGGTTTTTTTTTTTTTTGAGAAAGGTCTTGCTTTGTTACCTAAGCTGACCTGGAACGCTCCATCCTTCTCTCTCTCCACTTCCCAAGTACTGGGATGACAGGCAGATGTTATCATGGCTTTCAGGAATATAAGGATTTCTACAAAGAGTAACAGCTTCCATCCTCTTTACTGTGAAAGAGTGATTGCTTTCCCTGTTTTTAAGATCAGGAATAAGGCAAGGATGTCTATTTTGCCACTTCTAGTCAAAATTGTATTGGAAATTCTGGCTGTTGCGGACAAGCAAGAAGTCATAAAAGCCATCTAGCTTAAAAAAAAAGAAGTGAAACATTTTATTTGAAAGTTACACGATCATCTACATAAATAGACTAATGGAATTTACATAAATAAATAAAGTAAATAAAAAAGGTACTAGAACTAATAGACTTAACAAGATTGTAGGACATCAGATCAAATATAAAAATAATTGTACTTCTTTATGTTGGTGACAGTTGGAATTTGGAATTCAAAATATATATGCATTATTTATGATAGCACCAAAAAGTATGAAATACTTAGGGGTATGTCTAACAAAAGATGTGTATGACCTATATACTAAGCCTATGAAACACTGCTAAAGAAACGAAAGAAATCCTAAATAAATGAGAGAAAGACCATTATGTTCCTGGGTTAGAAAACTTTGTTGAGATGTCAGTTTTTCCCAGACTGGTCTCTGTGTTCAGTGCAATCACAATCAGAATTATAGCAGGATACCAGAGGATTGGGAGGATTACAGTTTGAGGCCAGCCCAGGGAAAAAATTCACATGACCCCATCTCAACCAAAAAAGGCTGGGTGTGGTAGTGTGTGGCTGTTATCCCCAGATATGTGGGGAAGCACATACAGGACTGTGGTCCAGGCCAGCCCAGACATAAACAAGATGCTATATCAAAAATGATCAACGTGAAAAGGGCTGTCGGAGTGGCTCAAGCGGTAGCACGCTTGCCTAGCAAGCACAAGGTACTGAGTTCAAATCCCAGTACTGCCAAAATATAATTATAGCAGGAGTTTTATAAATTGACAGACCAGTTCTGAAATTCATATGTAAATGCAAAAGTCTGAGAATAGCTAAAATAAGTTTGAAAAAGATAAAAGTTGGAGATATAAGACTATTCAAACTCAAGATGATGTATAAAACTAGAATCATCAAAACAGGGTGGCATTAGCGTACAGACAGCCAGATAAATTAAATCAACAGAGTCCAGAAATAGACCAACATATATTTGGTTAAGTGACTACTGACAAAGCTAAGCTACAAAGAGCAATTCTGTGAAGAAAGAATAATCTTTCAATAAATGAAACTAAAATGGTTGAAACCCATATACAAAAAAAAAAAGCTTAAGTCCATCTGCCACATCATATAAAAAATTAATTCAAAATGGATCTAAGACCCAAATATAATACCTAAAATTATAAAATATGTACACAAGAGCAGGAGAAAAATCTTTGTGACCTTGGATTAGGCAAAGATTTCTTGAATACAATGTCAAAAACTGATTCATAAAAGAAGTAATTAATAAACGCATTTCCTCAAAATTGATAATTTTTTCTTTGAAAAATACTGCTAAGTGAAGTAAAGACGAGCCACAGACTGGTGGAAACTATTTCAAAATTGTTATCTGATAAAGGACTTATATCTAGAACACATAAAGAATTGTCAGCTGGGCGTGGTGGAGATCAAGAGGATTGCAGTTCAAGGACAGCCTAGGCAAAAAGTGAGCAAGACCTCATCTCACCAACAAGCTGGGTGTGGTGGTGCATGCCTGTCATCCCAGCTACACGGGGAGCACAGGTAGGTAGATCTCAGTCCAGGCCAGCCTGGGGAAATATGAGAAAGACCCTACCTGAAAAATCACTAAAGCAAAAAGGACTGGTGGAGTGGCTCAAGTGGCAGAGCACCTGCCTAGCAGAACTCAGGCTCTGGGTTCAAACCCTAGTACCACCAAAAACCGTCAATAATAAGAAAACAACCCAATAAAGACAATGGGCAAAAGATTTGACTGAACACACTTCCCAAAGAAGACATGAGTGGCGAATAAGAACATGAAAGGACAGTTGAGATGAAAGTCACAAAAAGATACCCTATTAGAGTTGCTCAAAGACCACAATCCTGCCTAGCGGTGTCTAGGAAGTGGAGAAACGAAACCACATTGGAACCATCACATGACGTTGAGCGGCTACTTTGGAAATCAGTTTGGCAGTTTCTTTAAAGTTAAAATTGGGCTGGGGGCATGGCTCAAGTCCCTGAGTTCAATCCCCAGAACTGCAAAATGGGAGGTGGGGGGAGAGGTAGAATCCATGCCACAGATGAGCCAGTCCACTCCTAGGCATTTACTCAAGAGAAATGAAAACATGCCACACAAAGACATCCCATTAGTCTTATAATAGCCCCAAACTGGAACCAACCAAATGCCCACTTCAGGTAAATAGGCAAAGTGTGATGTGTCCAACCATAAAAAAGGAATTTACTACTCACAGATGTGAAAATGTGGCAGGGTATAATTATGCTGAATAAAAGAAACCAGACCAGAGCAAGACTCATGTCAACAGCCATACAGAACTCTAGGAAGTGCACACTTGTCGTGACAGAAGGTAGATTAATGATTGTCTCGTAACCAGGAGTTGTGAGGGGTAAGGTGCAGGCTGAGGAGGGAAGGAGGGAAAGAAAGACATAAGAAAATTTGAGGGCAGGATATTGGGTTGATTGTGTGATGGTTTCATGAGTGTAATCTCCAGTACCACCAAAAAAAAAATATTAATCTCAGTTCGATTTTTTTTTAAAGCCAAAAAGTCAAAATTGATAAATATGAAATAAATTTTGGGGGAATGTTTGTGAGTGCCTGGACTGAGACAGGAAGTGGAAGGTGTATGTATCTTCAGTTGGAGGCAGTTGGTCAGTACAGCACTGAGGGCATGCTAATATCTGTTCTAATCAGCCCCAAGATGGACTTTAAAGGGGTAGCCCAAATCCATCACCGAGTCTCCTAACTAGTTTATCCTCTCTTTCAGGAGAAGCGTGCAAGTGCCAGTGAAGTGGCCCTTTTAGACATCGTGTGTAAGTTTTGCTGATTTGCATTTACACTCCAGTCAGTTTCATCAGAGGCAGTTCTTACATAAGGATGCAGATTCTTGAGTCAAGGGGACCTGGTCAAATCCCATCTCTACTGCTTGCCTCTCTTGTGACGTTTGCCAGGTTGCATTGTCTCTTTGTACTACAGGCTTCTCCTAAGTAAACCTCCTTCCCGGGATTGTGTGAGGATTCAGTGAGATACAGTCTGCAGAATTCTGAGCAGAGTCACTGGTGCAGCTTGAACACAAAGTCAGTAGTCGTTGGGCATTACATTACTACAGAATTTAAAAGTCTGCTTCTGAGAATCTGTAATAATGTAGCTTCTCACCTCTCCTCCCTACCATTTCTTGCATTTTTTGTAATTGTGTATGTGTGTGTATTTGCTTGTTTTTTAATCAGGAGGAAACATAGCATAAGGGCTAAGAACACAAACCCTAGGACCAGATATCTTAGGTTGGTTTATTGCCTACCTGTCAGCCGTAGGGGATGGTGATCACGGTGCTTTGGTATTTCTACATGACAAATCTATATAATAACAATAACATCACATAAGGTTATGGTGAGGATTAAATGACAGTACATTTTAATTTAAGTGGCTCAAGTGGTAGAGCATTTGCCTAGCAAGTATGAAGCCCTAAGTTCATACCCCAGTATTGCCAAAAGAAAAACAAAATGTAAGTTCTAGAACAGAGTATGGTGTTTACTGACAGTTGTTCTTACATATTAATTGCCTTCTATGACATAGAAATATATCAAGAATCACCTTTATTCAGACCTAGTTCCAACTATGACATAACCAAGTCTAGTTTAGTTTCGGTTTCAGAAACTGGATTCTATCTAAGCCATAAGAAGGAGCCACACAGTTCCATTTCTCATGCATTCATTTAAATGTTTGGTAAACACCTACTGTCTGCAAGGTATTTTACTACTGAGCAAAACAGCTGGTTTATACTCCTTAAATGTCACAGTGTAATTGAGGAGAGAGGTTACTCAATCACAAATGGCGTACTTACAATTATAGTAAGTGCTATGGAGGAGAAAAGTTAAGGACTGACGAGAACACAGTGGGGCCTCCTGTTCTGTGGGTGTTTAGGAGGAGTTCTCGAGGAGATGAGTTGAGACCCAAAGGATGAGCTAGTACCACCCAGCCAAGGGGGGGAGGACGGTTAGCCAGGTATGTGGGAGTGGGAGGAGGTGTTCCCAGAGCAGAGAGGGGCAGCAGTAGGACCTCAGGGCTGCAAGAGGGCCCAGCTAGGCTCAAGACTCTGGTAATATAGCACAAGGATGGGCTGAAGTCAGGGCAGGAACAGTTTTAAGCCAGAAGGATGATGGAAAAGAATTGAATTTGCTAACTCCGCAGGTCCATTTCTCCTCCAAGGTACTCTTGAGTTTGAACCTTCTGAAGGTTATCTTCTGTGACATACATTTATCCATGCCTTTGTCAGACATACACTGGGTGCTTTATGCAGAGGATTTAGACCTGAGACCACACAGGGGTGAGCAAATCCCTTATTTCTTGGAGAATCTGCCCGGAGAGATAGGAAGTATACAAGTGAACACCTGAGTACCGAGTACAGGGTGTGATGGCAGGTGATGATGAGTGCCCTGATGGGAACTAAGGCAGGGTGATCAGGGGAGCCCTCCGAGCAGGAGAGAGCAGGCAGAGGTGAGGATTGAGGTGGGTGAGGAGCTGGGAGAGGAGGCATAGGCAGGGTAAACACCCATGCAACTGCCAATCAGGTGGTGCCATTCCAGTGCAGATAAACGCTGCAGTCTGGAGTAGATCTACATGCAAGTAATAAATGACCTAACAAAATAAGAATGAAGGCTAAGGCCAACCTTAGCCTAGATTGTTTGAATAGGGTAATTAGGATTTGTTTTTGTCTAAAATAAATTTAATCCATATAAAGTTTATCTTTTGAATAAGAATTTATCACCTAAATTCATGAATTACTATTATGCTCTCTAGTTATTTTATGTTATTAAACATATGTATTCATAAACACATTTCTTCAAAGTTCTAAGATACAACTTTGAGTGACAACCCCTCTTCTCCCAGATACTCAAGTTCATCGGCACCAGAAACTTTGGGATGTTTTTCAGATGAGTAAAAGAACAGGTAATAGTGTCTGTTTTAAATTGAACATTTGTATTTTGTACTTTGGTAGTTTAAAAGTGAATAGCAGCGTGTTCACTTAAATTACTTTTTCAGTGCGGTAACTATTGCTTGCTTACACCAGATGGTACCATGTCAGAGGTGCTGGTAGCATTCGTGTGATGTTGCCTTTGTTGCCGGGGGGTTACACAGGCTTCGTAGCCCTAGGGTTCTTTGCATATATATTTATGAATGCTTTGTAGCTCCCTTAATTTTTCTTTTTTAATATGCTATCTTCATATATGTAGCTAGTGTACTTCAATTAATTTTTTTCTCTTTTCATTTTGACAGATGAAGATGTTGACCTTTTTGATATGGAACAATTCAAAAGTTCATTTAAGAAGATTCTTCAGAGAGCATTAAAAAATGTAAGAACAAAGTTCATCTGAATTTCCATGAAATTCAATTTAATAACATCTGTGCATTGAAAATTGCCACTATCTTGGTGTGGTTTTTTTTTTTTGTAATAAATTCAACTAGTCATATTCCATACTATTCTACTCCATATCAAAGACAAACCCTACATTATAAAAATTTCCCTCTCTCTACTCAGCCTAGGGCTTCTTTCTCAGGGGCAGTGCCGTCCAGTAGAACTCTGCAGTGACATAAATGTCCCCTATTACCACTGTCTAGTACACTAGCTAGTACCCACCTGTGACTGTTAGCACTTGACATGTGGCTAGAATGACTGAGAAATGAATTTTTAATCTTATTTAACCTTAATGATTTCCATTAAATAGTCCATGCCTAGTTGATGGCTCTGGTATTGGCCAGTGTGGCACTGGCGCACCCTTGACTTTTGCTTTTGTAATGGGAAGACAGGAAGCCATCTAAAATAAGACCCTCTTCAATTCCAGTCCATACAGGCAACTGAGCCCCTGAAGGGGCTATATTCTTCGCCTCCATACCCGGCCCTAGGAGAATTCCTTGTCCTGTGCACAAGAGGATTTGGAAAAGCAGCTGCATACAAATTGGGCAGAATTTGCTTGCTTGCCACAGCAGGCACCATAAAATCCTGCTTTTCCTGAAGTTAGATCCAAGAGGGAGAAAATAGACAGCTGGCAAGCCAAGCAAACCTGTTTTATAGTCCTCCGTTACAGGGTCAGCTTCAAGGGAATGTTGACTCTGGGGCAAGCAGGTAGCCAGGGAGCAGGCTCTTAAATTCCCAGAGAAATCGGCAATCCTATTCCCAAGTTTAGAAAGGCCTATTTTATCCATGAAATGGAAGCCAAGTAGGACTTCCTACATTCTCATCATATACCATTCCTTCAGTGTTTTCTACTTCTGAGCTAAATGCCCAAGAGCATGGACTTAATATGTTTTTGAACCCATCACTACTTAGAGATCTTACTGATAATCTGTATAGTGCACACTAGATCTGTGCTGCATGCTAGACTTTCTTATTAAACAGCTGTCTCACAAGGCTGTGTTAACTCTTTATCTCTTGTTAGTAGAACAAATGTTCAGGACAAACTCAATCAGTCTTATATCACAAGATTTCTTCCCAAAGATTCCCAAAACACTGTCATAAAAAGGAGAAAAGACTGCCAGGTTTTAATATGCATACAAAATTATAGTGACATGGTTCCTAAAAAGCACCTGCAAGTTGGATGTGGTGGTGCACACCTGTAATCCCAGCACTCAGAAGGCTGTGGCAGAAGGATTAAAAGTTCCAAGCTGGCCTGGTCTACATAGTGAGACTGCATCTAAAACCACGGATGGTGCCAATGTTTAACCGGGAAATTTAAAACTTCTTAATAAGGTGATGGTCAGCTTCAAAGACACTGAGGATAAAGCAGTCTGGATTCGAGTTGCCTGGGGAACACAGAACTCAAAGCCAAACCAGTACAAACCTACTTATGTGGTGTATCATCCCCAGACTCCGTATGCCTTCATGTCTTCCTGCAGCCTGAAGAGCACTGTACCCCTTCTGGGTCAGGTATGACACAAATTGCTATCAGCTATGGTATCTTACTATCTGATCTCAAAGGTCTATCAGGTTAAATTGCTCAAGCACTTACTATAGAGTACCATGTGTGGTCCTTCCTAAAATGAGGATCAGAGAGCACCTTATCTATACATGGAAATGTGATTCAAAGTATTAGTTTGGGGTTATTCTTTATTTTTTTTTAATCTAGAAGTAATACATGCTTAATGTAAAAAAAAAAAAAAAAAAAAAACCTGTAACCAATACAGAAGCCTCTAAAGATGAAAGGTCTTGTTCAGAACTCTGTACCCCTTTCCCCTCTCCCCTTCACCTAAAATAACTATTAGTTTGCTGTTTCCTTTCAAACAGTGCTTTAATCACAAAAGTCAGGGTGAATTACTTTCCTGGCAGGGGAGATGCACCCTGATGGCAAAGGTGGTTTTCTCAGGGCAAGGTTTATCCATCGCACTCCAGATCTGCTGACTACTGTGATTTCCCCAAATGCAGGAAAACTGACTGCATAATTTGTGGTAGTGGGGGGCTGTGTTTGTGCTCTCCCCTAAAAAAGAAGTCAGGTTGATACCTAAGGTTCTGTAGTGTTTTGCTTTTTTAAGTTAACATTTCCACAGGTTTATATACAGTGCATTCTCATATCTGTCTAATACTCCCATCTCTGGCCATTGTTGACCTTTGTAGCCATTTCTCCCACACTGTGCATACAAGAAGACCACTTTAACCTAAGATGCAGCCTCTGTCCAAAGCCTGCTGCTTCTTTATAGCTCTGCCTTTGGTATTACAGGCTTCCCAGCATCTTTCCCCAAAACAAACCATCTGTAAATTGGTCTGGCGAGTACTGCTGCCTGTTAGCGTTCACGGCTACAGCCACACCTCCCACGGTCCCAAAGCTCACACCTCAGCTCGTTGGAGGTGAGCAGCCCCAGCAGCGCTACATCACCTCCAAGCAGCCTGTGTCCGCTAGAGGTGCTGCAGCATCACACTCTCCAGGGTCATGGACCAAGCAAACCTCAGGATGCCAGGGGCTGTATTGCTGGTCACTTAAGTTCCATGGTGGTTTATTGACAGCAGAAAGACTGCCACTCGCTCCTATTCCCTCTCACGCTGGGCTCCACTTCTTCACATTTGGGTTTTTTCATCCATGATGCAGTGTTCATTCATCCACTTACAGCCAGGTGAGTGTACCCTGCCACAGGTTCTTTAAACATCACCCCAGCTGGGGATGTGGCACAGTGGCAGAGCACTTCCCTAGCATGCACAAGGACCTGGGTTCGATCCCAGCACCACAGAAAAACACTACCCTGGAGGCTGGCATTCATTTCTACTGTATATCTTAAGACTTGTCTCTCCCCTCTCTCTAGTTCCAGGTAAATATCTCATTTGAGGAATTCGGTTTCAGTCTTCTAACTTGCTTCCCAGATAACAGGAATTTTGGAAGTTGCATTTGCCATAAAGCATACACATTTGCTTTATTGCATGGCTTGTGGTGGTGCTGGGTAACTGCTGTTCTAAAATGGTGACTTTTGAGCATTTGGTGTTTATACCTCAGTCTGAACTTATAAGTTCAGACTTATTTTAACTCCTAGCCTTGAACATGACTGCTTTTCTAAAAATGACCACACTTACGAGACTCTTAATGCCAGTGACCACTGTTTTGTTTTTAAGCTGAGTAATAGGCCACGGGAGAAAATCTGTCTTTGAGCTCTTACATGGAAACTATTCACTGATTTCAGCTATACTTTACTTTGACAAAGTTTATAAATACAGTGATAATAATCCTAATAGCCATGCTGATTTTTGTTTCAAGGCACTGATGGTTGCTAGCAAGCACCATCAGATTGTGAAAATGGACCTGAGAAGCCGACACCTGGACTCTCTCAAGGCTATTGTTTTTAAACAGTATAACCAGGTGAGCCAATCAGAATTCTTGAAAGTTGAGTCTTCCTTTTCTCTTGCTTATAAAAGTTAGAGCCATTGAGCAGGTGGGTGGCCACCTCTAACAGGTGATCACTTGAGATATTAGTGAAGGAGAGAAAAGTTTCAATCAGTTAACATGAAAGGAAACAAAGCCATTTCTCTCTTGGCTTTTTATCCTTGTATTTTATATCATCCATTTGTCACTGGGTCTGTATTAATGGATTTCAGTTTCCATATCAGCTGTAGAGTAACCTGATCCTGTCTTTTAAAGCTAAACATATTCTATTATGCAAGAGAAATACAATTAAGTTTTTGTCCTATCAGTCAAGCAAGTGACAGAAGGGTTGAAATTAAAGGGGAAAGCATGGGTTTCTGAGTCCCACAACTGCTTTATCTATTAAAATGTCGTTCCCCTTTAGTGATAGGGACAGATCTGTCCTTACAGGCTCAAGGGTTTTCTCCTGTGCATGGCACATGTCTGCTCATGTGTTCAGACTCTTTCAGTGCATGGAGCCCTCTGTTCTCATCTGTTCTAAATAGAAAGAAGTGACGGCTTTCTGCAAGTCAGTCTGCGGAAAAGGCCTAACATTAAGAAGTTAATAAGGAATTTCTCTCCTCACCGCCCTTCTACCCACCAGCCTCCTACTAACTATTCTACTGTAGTGTGACAGTTGCATTCCTAGGAAAGTCCACAGTGTCACATACTTCCTTGTATAAGCACTGCCTTCAGTGGAGAAAGGTGGGGTTTAAGAGACTCAGACTTCCAGTAGGAAAGCCGTCACACTGGAAAACATCACGCTGCAAACGCTGCCTAAGCTTTTATGACCGCAAAGCACAGAGTTCCGCAAACAAAACGACCATGTTCTCAGGCCTTCACCTAGTCAGTATACTCTGTCCTGAGAACAACGCTCAACTTAGCCAGGATGTGGTCTCAAATCTCTTTTTGGAAAAAAAAAGTATTTGACATACTTTTACATACTAAAATCATTTAATTTCCATAATTCAAGTTGTTAAAATCAGTAAAAAATTTACTTTTCTCTCCCTCCCAGACGTTTGAAAATCACAGCTCTACAATACCTCTACAAGAAAGAAACCTTGGACTAAATATAAGTATGTGTTTTAAGATAAAGCTGAAATTTAGCCAAGTGTAATTGCACTTACCTGTAATCACAGCAGTCCGGAGGCTGAGGCAAGAGAATGACAAGTTCCAGACCATCCTGGGCTACATAGCAAGACCCTGTCTCAAAAACATAATTTAAAAAAATAGGGATCTGATTCCAAACTATTTACTGCCTTCAGAAAAACTGAAAATTAAATATCTGTGGAAGAAGGAAGGCCAAGCTACCAATAGGTCTTCTTTAGAATTTACTCGAATGGTAAAAACAAAAATAAAAAAGCTCATTGCTGCTGAGCATTTCTTTTGTGCTCAGCACCATGCTCAGATGTTTGTATTACATATTTGCCCATGAAGAAGCGCTAGCCATTGAGAAGTGCTTGGAACTCCAGACAATATCATACAGCTAGGAAGTGGCAAAGCAGAAGTGGACCCTGGGCCTGACTGTGGAGCCAGTTCCAAACTGGTTCTAGAACAGTCCGAGCGGTACCTGCACTGCTACCCACAGATGACATGAGTCTCTCCCTAGAAAACCCAAGCCCTTTTCAGCAATGAAAGGAAATGGTATCACTGCTACGAACTAAACATTTTTATAACTCAAGTGGCACAGGAACTGCTGTTGATTCATGTTAAGGAAGCAGGATATAAAATTGTGTTTGTTTTATAATCCCACTTTAAAAATGCATATATGTATACATCTTTCGTTTTATTAACTGTAAAAGAGCTAGACAAATATATTAAAATGTGAATGGTTCTTATCTCTGGGTGGTAGAATTATGGGTAATTTTTTCTTTTATCACCCTGCATTTTCCAACTGTTGTACATGATAAATTTTGATTGAAAGAAAGAACAAGCGACATTACTTTTAAGTTATACAAATCATATGAAGAGTTAGGGATGAAAAGAAGACATCTGAAAGATGAAGTGTGTTCCTAATGCCTGTTTCCATTTGAAATTGTCCATCTTCAGTGGATTCCAGGATCATTCACGAAAACACAATAGAAAAAGAGAGAGTCCAAAGAATAACTCAAGAGACTTTTGGAGACTATCCTCAACCACAACTAGAATTTGCACAATATAAGGTAGGACCTGAAAGTTATCAGCATTTTTTTTCAAAAGATAATAGAACCTTAAAGTGAAGCAAGTCTAAGAAACTATTCCTTTTTCATTTATCATGTCAACTTTACATAATAAACTTGTAAGTTAAATAGACCTCTTTATTATGTTTTAAGTTCCCCTTTTAGCAAAGGAGACCTTTTGAAATTTTGGATTTGGCTTTTCTTTTCGTCTTACAATTACCTGGGTTACATATTAACTGGGCGTGATCTGTATTTTTGAGGTGAAGAAAATTGTAGGTCATACCTTCCTAGCCCATCCACATTTAGAATATTATTGGCACGTAGGTGGTCATGAATACCTGTTGAGTAAGAGAGTGGAGAATCTGCGTGTGGTGACACATGGCACTCGGGAGGCTGAGGCAGGAAGATCTCTTGTTTAAGGTCAGCTTGGCCTTGTCTCAGAAAGCCAAGAGAAAAAGGGAAAGGGCAGAGAATAAAGCAGTCATCACAGGGCCAGGTTGGCATCAGAAGGAGAAAACCAGTTGGCATGATACACTGCAGGCACAGCTTGTTCTCGGTGCTGCCACCCACCAAGCCCAGGTTTTTAGTGCGAGCACATGGCTGCCATCAGAAGAACTCGAGGTTTATACCTCGAGTTCACCCTACTCTGAGTCCACGTTCATACTCATAACACCCTCAAGCTCCCCAGTAAAATTATGTCTCTTTAGTCTTCCTATAGCTGGAGGATACACTTAAAATCTGTCTTTGAATGCTCACTTAGGCACAAAGGCTGTTTGGTTTGACTTGTTTTTAGTGGGAGAAGTTGACACTTTTCAGGTTGGTTCCCTTAATGGCAGGGTGTAACCGAGCTTCTTTGAATAGTCTATAATCAGTGTGATGGTTCTCAGTGTGTAATCCCTGGATGGGCAGAAGCAGCACCACTGGGGAGTCGATGAGAAGTGACAATTCTTGGGCTGGCGGAGTGGTTCAAGTGATGGCACGCCTGCCTAGCAAGCATGAGGTCCTAGGTTCAACCCCCAGTACCACCAAAAAAAAGTGGCCATTCTTGGTACCGCCCCAGATCTTCTGGGTCTGGGGAGGTAGACCCAGCAACCTGTTTTGATAAGCCATCTTGCTCATGACGCACACTAAAGCTGGGGGCCACTGGTCTAGGATACAAATGATTTCCAAAACTTCCCTTTGTGCATTTGTTAGAATGACTGTTCTGTCATTGGTCTGAACTTGGGGCTGCACACTTACAAGGCAGGTGTCTACCACTTGAGCTATTCCTCCAACTAGAATAGCTGTATTCTGTAAATCTAAGTACACAATTATTCATACCTGCTACTGGGCTACCTGTGCCGTTTCTATTTTGAAAAACATCAAACCTTCAGAAAACTAAGAAGAATGTTACAGTGAGCATCTATTTCTCTTTCGCTTTAGCTCACAGTTGCTGGAATTGGCTGCATTTTTCTCTCTCTATTCTAAATCATTTGTGTTAGTTGTACACATACTCATTTCCCAGATATTTCAGCCTACCTGCTCAGAATCTTAAGAATCACTTCAAATTAAGAAGTGATCAAAACTTAGAATCCAAGTGCCAAGTACCTGTTGAAATAACAGGACTTGGATATTTGGTAATATTATTAAATTTTTAGGTATGGTAATGGTATCAGGGTTCAGTTTTTAAGAACTCCTTTTAAGTGGAGCTGGCAGAGTGACTCAAGTGGTAGAGCATCTGCCTAGCAAGCATGAGGCCCTGAGTCAAACCCAAGTGCTACCAAAAAAAAAAAAAAGGTCCTTTCAGGTGTCTTTTAGATACATACAGAAATGCAGGCAAAATGTAATAGCATTTTATCTGCAATAAAAACAGTCTAGTAGGGGTGGGCAGTGGCAAGTAGGGGCTGAGGTAACAGATGAAACCAGGCTGGCCACAAGCTGACCATCAGTTCAGCTGGCACTTACATGGTGCTATTTCTATATATGTTTATTTTTTGGTTGGTGTTTTTATGACATGAAATCTTCCTTGTGTGACCCAGGCTGGCCTTGAACTTGCTATCCTCCTGCCTCAGCCTCCAAAGTGCTGGGATTATAGGCATGCACCACCACACCCAGCTTCTATACATGTTTTAAATCTTCCCTAATAAATTTAAGTGGTGACTCAAGAGATTTGACATTTTTTTATTGAAACTACAGATTACAAAAGATAGCATTAATTTTCCATTAAGAATGCAAACTGAGCTGGGCGCTGGTGGCTCACGCCTGTGATCCTAGCTACTCAGGAGGCAGAGATCAGGAAGATTGCAGTCCAAAGCCAGCCCAGGCAAATAGTTCAAGAGATCTTATCTTGAAAAAACCCATCGCAAAAAAAGGGCTGGTGGAGTGGCACAAGGTATATAGATCCTAAGTTCAAACCCCAGTACCACAAAAAAAAAAAAAAAATGCAAACTATAAAGTGCACTGAGGGCAGAGCTGACTTTCGGCATCTCCTGTACACACAGTATGTGTTGGCATTTGTGTTGGACATCTTTTAATATACAGGATGCTAAGTTTGCAGTTAGTTAGCAAATTAAATGATCTCCACCTCCACTAATCCCTATATTTCTTAAAGGCAAGAATTAATGAAATTGTATAATCTGTTCATTATCTTTTGCCATTCCAACTGATACATCTAACAGTCATTTATAAACGCCTTTGTTGACAGCTTGAGACAAAGTTCAAAAGTGACGTCCATGGGGGCATCTTGGCTGAGAGGGAAGAGCCCCTGAGGTGCCTGGTGAAGTTCTCCAGCCCACATCTTCTGGAAGCACTGAAATCCTTGGCTCCGGCTGGTGAGTGGTCAGCTTACCCCACAGGATGCACTCCGCCCTCTGCTGCTGCCTGGCTACCTCGGAGCTTCCCCATCTCCCCATCGTGCCCTGGTTTTGACTGTTTTGCTTCTGCACCTAATGGGGAGGGGTCCGTAATATACCTCTAATCTTAGCTATTTTTAAACTCACTCAAGGCTTTTAATTTTCTTTTTCTCTATTTTTTATTTTAGGTGTAGCAGACGCACCACTTTCACCATTGCTCACTTGCATACCCAGCAAGGGAAAGAATTATTTTAAAATTAGAGATAAATAAGACGTGGTTTTGTAAGCGCAGTGGCTCCTTGACTGTATTGCACACACATTCCAGCTAATGGCTAGCTGGATAGCTTCTGTCTATTAACTTGTATTTTAGGAATTGATTCTTTGTATTGAAAATTTAGGAATGTTCACGTAACTGTTGGGACTGACTTTCCTCCTCCCTGGGTAGCCCTCACCCCTTTTCCTGCTAAGTATAGCAGTTGTGGACATTTGAGATGTGACAGCCTGCACACACGCCTGTGCGCACACACGTATGGCTCCAGAGTAACTTGGGGTGCTAGAGTGTTCGAAGTCAAGCTGTGGCACAGTGGTTGGACCTGTTGGCATCCTATCAGGTGTCGTTTTCCATGACTGCCTTGCCTCCGTCCTAGCAGGTCTAATTCCAGTCGCTGGTTTTTAGGGATTTTCTCTTAAGCCTTGGGTCATGGAAAGATGCACCAAGAAGCTATCTCCAACTCAGAACTTCTAGGGGCTTCGTAAAATTGGCCCGTTCAGTTGTTATTCCAGGAGGTGCGTATCTGCTGGCTCACTTACAAAATGACTGTTTTGCTGTAAATGTAGTTTCATAATCTTATTTTATCATGCATGTAACATTCAAACTGACCACCATTATTAACTGATTTCTGAATAAAGATAATGAAAAACTGGTACGTTAGCTAATGTGGGTTTTGGGGCTTTCGTTTAGTTGCTTTTTGGGGTATTTTTTGGTGATATTGGAGTTTGAACTCAGTACCTTGCTTGACCCATGCCCCCAACCCCTTTTTGCCTTAGTTATTTTCAGATAGTGTCTCACTATTTTGCCAGAGCTAACCTCAAACCACAGTCCTCCTATCTCCACCTCCCATATCGCTGGGATTGTAGAAGTGGACCTCTGCACCTGGCTCTGGTACACCATTACTTTGGATGAAAATCTTCAGAGATCTTCACTAAATAGCATATACTTTTATGATAACATCTTAAATCTACTCCAGAGAGGATTGGGGGTTACAAAAAAGACATGTTACAATTATAAAAATTAAAAGGCAAGGAAATCTGAGCAGTTAAGAGCACAAAAAGATCAGGAGAACAAAACAAAGCTAGGAACAAGGTTTCTCTGTGAGGAGGTACATGTGCCTCCCAGGTGCTAAAGGACTAAAAAGTGAGCAGGAAGCTTGCCAGTGACAAGCAGAGAAGAAAACACCAATTTGTGAATGAAGATATTTAAAGGCTACTTTTGATGAGAATCAAAAAAGAAGCCTAAAAGACACTATATAAATAGTCAGAAAAAGGAGTTAATAAAATGATTTATAAAATAATGTCTGTAGGCTATAGGTTTTTAGATTTAATCTCATTTCAGGATAGTCACTTCAGTTCTTCCCTCCCTCTGCACCCCTATTAAGGCCCTGAATCTTTGGGGTCTCAATGATGCTAATTTCTTTTTGACCAGGATCATGGTTTAGGGCATCTTTCCTTTTGCGTGCACACTTAGAAGGTATTCTGCCAGCTGCTAGAACAGCTGTGTAGGATCTGCATGAAGGCCCTTCAGGTTTCTGGGATGGTTCCCCTCAGCCTCACACCTATCCCTGCTGCATGGCAGGAATGAGGGTCTGGAGTCTGAACAAGAAGGACACTAGTACTACCCAGCCTAGCACTACAGGCTCAGAAATCTTCGTGTTTGATAACTGTCAGATGTAGCTTGGGAATGGGAGCCACAGGAAGTACAGAGCCAAGGAACTCCACAGTCAAAAAAGTGACAGCATCTTCAGTAAAATCTCTAAAAATGAATTAATAGCTAATTGAGCACTTATTATGTGGCAAGCACTGTGTTAAATATTTCATAGGTATACTCTTATTTTCATAATGATCTTATAAGGCAGGCAACATCTTATTTTACTGATGTCAATACCCAGCAGTCAGACTCCCTAGCCTGCACTTTATAGACACCATGCTGAATAATTCTCCCCTTCCCAAAGATGTCCACATCATAACCCCTGGAATAGGGCAAAGGGACTTTGCAGATGGGGAAACGGCCCTGCATTACCTAAAGTGGGTCTTCAAGAGTGGAAGGGGAACAGTCATATAGAGAGATGTAACAACTATAGACGTTAGAGTGACTCAGAGATGGAAGCCACTCACCATTGCTGATTTTGGTGGTAGAAGAAGGGAGCATAAGCCAAGGAATGCAGGTGGCTTCTGCAGGCTGGAAAAGGCTCCCTGCGCCTCTGAATGGGATCAGCCCAACTGACACCTTGATCAGCCCCATAAACTCATTCCAGACTTCCAACCTCCAGAGCTATAAAATAAGAAACTTGTTTTTTTAAAACACTGGTATTTATTAATAGCAATAGAAAAGTAACACAGCTCCTGATAAGTAAAAGCTGGAAGTTTTCACCAAGCTGCTTTCTTTTTTAAGGGATGCATTTCTAATTTCAGTGCAGTCCTCGCCCCTCCCTTTTGTCTACCTTTGGCAGTCTATACTCATTTACACGATCTCCTTGGTCTCTGTAGGTATTTAGGTTTTGGAACCATGCACTGAGCTACACTGTCTTCCAAACAGTAATGGAATTTCAACAAGTAAAATACAAGCAAATAAATACAGAGTCTAAAGGGATTAATCCTGATAATTGTAACAATTCATTTGTTCAGCGTGGGCTACTGCATGTTATTTAATTCCTCTAAGCCTCAATTTCCTCTTCGGCACAGTAAGACTTACCGTACTTACCCGCTACCGTTGTCTTGAGCACAAAACGCAAAGTACATCAGCCCTCAGAGCCTGGTTGAAGGACCCCTCTCATGCCACAGACGCTTTGGGTTGTTTGTAACCTTTATAGTTAAAGCTACTGACAGCATTGCTTTCCTTCCTCCCAACTGTTGCCTGACGTCAAGTTCCTAAGAAGGCAAGGAACGAATAGATCAGCCAGACCAATACCTTTTACCTGTTGGCGCTGAAGGTTCCTTGCCTCACCTGGCGTCGGCTCCCTGGGAGATGCGCTACCCGCGGCAGGCAGGGGGCGCCGCGGCCGCCGGATGCTAATGAGCAGGGCGGACCCGCCCCCTGCCGGAAGTGGCTGCAACGGGGGCGGGACCTGTGAGCCGAGGCCGGCGGCGGTGCGGGAGCCATGGCGGCATCGGAGGCGGCGGCGGCGGCGGGGTCCGCGGCTCCGGCGGCAGCTGCCCCGACTGTCCCGGAGGCCGCGAGGGGAGCCGCCGCCGCCGCCTCGGGGCCATGGGGACCTCCGGGACCCCGGCTGAGAGGTAGCCGCCCGCGACCCACGGCGTCGAGGCAGCAGCCCGCGGCCCCGGCGCCGCCGGCCCGGGAGCTGATCCAGCCGTCGGTAAGCGAGTTGTCCCGGGCCGTGCGGACCAACATCCTGTGCACCGTGCGCGGCTGCGGCAAGATCCTGCCCAACAGCCCCGCGCTCAACATGCACCTGGTCAAGAGCCACCGCCTGCAGGTGAGCACGACGCGGCTCGGCCCGACCCGACCCGACCCGACCCGGCCCGACTCGGCTCGGCTCGGCTCGGCTCGGCTCGGCTCAACAAAGCGCGGGGGGCGCGGCGCGGGGCTCGGGGGACGCCTAGTGTCCACACGCGCGCGCAGGCCGAGCGCACGCGGGACCCCGCGGAGAAGTGCGCAGCGCGCACACGCCGACCCCGAGGTCCGTGTCGTGCCACACAGGCCACTTGTCACCTGCCCCCCCCACCCCGGCGAGTGCGCGTCACCCCCATTCCCTTGATGAGAAAGGAGCAGGTTGTGCCACCTTGCGTCGCCGCAGTCCTTCCTCACTGCACTTGGAGAAGTGCGCACCACCCCCATTCCCTCGATGAGAAACAGGTTGTGCCACCGAGGGAGTGCGAGGATTAACCCCGGCTGAGTCCCTGGGCTTTGCACCTCACCCGCCATACCGTCCGTGGGTCCTGCCCGGTTTTTCAAAAGCATCTGCAAGGTTGGCTCTAACTAAGCACCATCAGCCACAAGTTTAACTGTTGTTAAGGTCAACTCTGCTCGGGAATGAGACCAGAGGGAGATTTGTCCCGTGGATCTTCTTAGGAAGGGACACGATGTGACAGGACAGTCGTCTCAGCAGACCCTCCACACCGTTATGTAAAAGGGGGCAGTGATTTTCAAACCGTGGGTGAACTTGTGTGGAATCTTACTGAAAATCCAGACGGCTGGTCTCACCAGACCTGTTAAGTCACAGTCTCTCAGTCATTACAACAGGGAATTTCCTTCCACCACCTAAAGCCTGTGGGCCAGCAGTGACATTCTGGAAAGCTAAGTTATTGAAAGCAATTTTGTGAATAGGTAACACCCCATGGTCTGGTCTGATTGCTCAGAATCAGGTTCTGATCAGAGCTCTGTCTGCCCTTCCCTTCGTGTAAATCCTCCTTGGAACCTTCCTTAGAATCAGGCTTCTGGTGAGAACTGAGCAGCAGAAACTTTGAGGTTGTAGTCTGTCATGGGACAAATGTATTGAACTTTTAAGGTCTTAAAATATCTATAAAGTTCAGTAATCTACAAGAGACCAGTACATAACATGTAATTAACCAAGAATGAGGAAAATGAGCAAATACAAATTTTTACTTTTTTTTGCAGTGGCGGAATTTGAACTCAGGGCCTCCCAGTTGCTACGCAGGTGCTCTCCCACTTGAGCCATGACACCAGCCCTTTTTTGCTTTTAGTTATTTTTTCAGCAGCTTTAACTCACAGGCTGCCATGGACGATGATTCTCCTACTATGGACTCCCACATAGCTAGGATCACAGGCATCTCTACTACACTCAGCTTGAGTGTAAATTGAGATGACATCTTGCTAACTTTTTGCCCAGGCTGGCCAATAACCACGTTCCTCCTGATCTCTCCCTCCTGAGAACCTGAGTTATTAGGGTGTGAGCCACCACACCTGGTGACAGTCAAATCTTGGGCTTTGAATTTCAGGCCATCAGTATCCTCCCTGTCATGAATGTCAGAAATGAAATCATTCTTTCCAGTTAGCCATTTCTTTTTTCAGCTTTCTCTTATCTGAAGGCAGCAGGGAACTCTTTCTGAACTTAAGACAGATTCCTGCCGAGGTCCCTGGGGCAACATTTTTTAGCAGGAGTTACACCTCCCTCAAAACGGTCACTGATGTTTCCTGGTCAGTTAGCCACTTTTCTGGCATCTTCTGCCTTTCTACCATGGTGCTGGCAGCCCCTGGGCATCAGCATCTTGGTGGAGAGGGATCCAGTTTCTTAAATGAAGGGGCTTATGTGACAGGTATAGTCACACCTTTGTGATGGGGGCAACTCCACCCTCAACCTGTTTACTGCCCAGTAGGCTCTTCAGTTCGCTTGTCATTCTTGACAGTGATGTTCTCAAAGTATTACAAGGAAAGACATAGATGAGAAAGGTGTGGGGACACAGGGTAGTTGGGAAGCTCCCTGTGGTTTAAGGAGCTTCCCCTTTTCAGCCTAAATCTACTCTGGCAGACATTCTTATACTCAGAGGATATTTTCATTGGTTACAGCTACTCACATAATTCTAATTTCTTGTTTTTATATTTTCCAGGCTGTAATCAGCTTTTATTTCCTTCCCCATGAGTTGCTGTGTGGCTCTTACTTCATTCTTATTTTCATAAGATACCCCAAGCAAAGACTCCCTTCTTAAATGTAAATGATTAACCAACCCTTCTGAAGGATAATGAGTAAGACTGAGGGGTTGAATTGTAAGCTTCAGTATAGTTGCTGCTTTTGGCTCCATGTGGGTTTTTAAGATAAGTCCTACAAAGAAATCTGGAAATATCCTAGCCCAGTCTTGTATACACGTGGGCTCCATGGAGAAATGGGAGCTATGATGATTTGAAGTGAAAGCTAAAATGATCCAGAGAAAGGAAGAGTGGGAGGAAGTAGGCCTTCCTTGACTGCTCCAGATTTTTCTCCTCCCTTTAGAAAGCAGCGCAGGAACAGGTGGGCACTTAAAAGAACCTCTTCTCAAGCCACATTTATGTAACTTAGAGGATCTTATATTATGTTCAGTGAGGGTTATGTTTTCAGTGATTTGCTAGAAAATTCTTTTAAAAAGGAAAGGAAAAGTTCCAAGTTGCTCTGTAGTCCATATTGTGTGAGGACCACTGGTTTTCAGTTTGGAATAAGATGATTAAGCAAGCATCTGGTTTCCTTCCTGAATGCTGTCTGTGAATGCATCCTGTGCTAGACAATTCCCATTGCCGTCTTTACAGTCCTTTCCTCTTACACTGTACTCTTCAACTGTGGCTCTCCTTTTCCTTCTTTTATATGTATACTTTTTTCTATCTCTTTGTGTGTGTGTGTGTGTGGTGTGTGTGTGTGTGTGTGTGTGTGTGTTTTGTTGCAGTGCTGGGGACAGAACCCAAGTCCTTGCAGATGCTAGGCAAGTGTTTTACTACTAAGCTGTACCCCCAACCCTTCCATCTTGTTTTTGGATTGTTCCCTCTTACAGGCCCTTTTTCAAATTCTGTCACTTAAATGTTTCTTCATGAAGCCAGGTGTGGTGGCACACTCATGTAATCTCAGCTTCTACTCAGAAAGCAAAGGCAGAAGGATCTCAAATTCAAGGCCAGCTCTGGCAGAGTTATCCAGAACCCTATCAAAAGCAAACAAACACATGCATACACACACCGCAAAAAAAAAAGAAGAAAGGACTGGAGATGTGTTTCAATTGGTACAGTGCTTATCTAGCATGCTGAAGGCCCTAGGTTCCATCCTCAGTACAGCAAAAAAAAAAGTTTCCTTATAACGTATTTTTGTGGCCATTGTTTTCAGTTATACACACAGAAGATATAGTACAAAAAGTGTAGTAAATTTTATTTGTGAATATACATAGTACTGCAGAACAAAACATCTTTCCCACTGCAATTCTTACTTTGTTGTGCAAGTGGCATTTCTCATCTCTCCAAACTACCCTTGAACTTAACTGTCTCAGAACAAGAATGGGAAGAAGGCCCAAAAACCAGGGTGATAGAGAAGTTGGCCCCAGGAAGCAGAAATGTCAGGTGACTACCGTGGCCCATAATAAGGGCAGCAAGGGGTTATCACCTTCCAGTTAGGGTGTCTTTTGTGGTCTCGTTGCCACTTATAGTATAATTCTGGCTTAGGTGGCCACTTGAACATATTCAATACAATGCCATAAATTTGTATTAAACATAAACGCCGTTCAGAATATTCTCAAGTGCAGCAGAAGACACTAGGAAATCCCTTCCCATGAAAAAGTCTGGGAAATTATCATCACAGGTTGAGAAACCGAAATCTACAATGCCCTAAAATCTGAACCTCTTTGAACACCGACATGACACTGGAGAAGTTTCAGATTTCAAGAAGCATTTTAGATTTTAGATCTCCAGGTTAGGAATGTTTAAGTCTATGCAAAGTCAGGCTAAGGGATATGCAGCCAGTAGTTCCATTAGGTGTAACAGAGTCAGGAGAGAGGAGAAAGGGACTTTGAATGTCACAGGCTAGAGAAATCTGGTCTTAGGAAGTGATAGTCAGTTTTCCATTGCTGTGACAAAATACCTGAGAAAATCAGCTTTCAAGGAGGAAAGGTTTATTTTGGCCCACCATTTCAGAGGTTTTAGTCCGTGGAACTTGGCTCTGTTGCTTCAAGCCTGTAGCAAGGCAGAACATCATGAAGGGAGCATGTGTTGGAGCAAAGCTGCTCACCTCATGGCAGCCAGGAAGCAGAGAGAGAGAGGCCCAGGGACCAAAGCCCCTTCTAAAGGGCACCCCAGTGATCCCACTCCCTCCCACTGGGCCCCACTTCCTGAAGGTTGCATTGACTCCAGCCGTACCACAGGCTGGCAACCAAGCCTTTAAGCTTATTTAAGACCCAAAGCATAACAGTGCTGCTGAAAATGGTTGAGTGAGGTTATGGCATGCTTACAGCTCTACTTTAGAAAGATGGATCTGGCAAAGTGCGAGTAGGAGACAGACATTAGTTAAGAGGTTGTCTACACAGATCAGAGAGTCAGGAGGACTTAAAGCAGGAGCAGTGAGAAAGGAAAGGCTGGGGTCAGGAATGGCATTCATAAAGAGGTGAGCTTGTACTGTGGGCTGTGGGAGCATTAACAAAAGGGTTGCTGAGCAGTCCTGAGGAGGTGTCATAAATTGTGAATTTATGTGAGGTACTGGGCTTTAAACTCAGGACTCTCTGCTTGTTAGGCAGATACTCTACCACTTGAGCCCTGAGTTTTGGTTTTTTTTTAGCTAGGGCCTCACTATAGGGCCCAGGCTGTTCTCAAACTAACTGTATAGCCTGGCTGCCTCAAACTCGAGATTCTCCTGCTCTGCCTCCCCAGTTCTGGGATTACAGGCTTGCTCCACGTCGCACAGTATGTCATGAGTTTTGAAGTGATCCGGTCAGCAGTTTTGAGGAGCATTTGACAGCTTAGGAGCAGATAAGGAGGAAATTCCCTGGAATGTAAAGTGGCTGAGAGGAATTTGATGTTGATCAAATGAATGAAGGGTTTTAGAGTGTGTTGCCTTCTCACGCATATGCTTTTTCGTTCACTAGGTGAACGATGCTAGGTGAAAAAGCTGTAAGTTGATTTAAAGTGTTCCATCAAAAAAACAAAACACTACTGAGGATCTTGAGTTCAAGTCCAGCCTGGGCTACACAGCAAGACCCTTTCTCAAAACAAAGAGAAAAGAAAACACAGAACATTAGATGAATTGGTAGATGGAATGAGGCTGTTTGAGGGGCGGTATCCTGGTCATTAAAGCCAGCAGGTGCCAGTGCTCCACAAAGGCAGGAGCATTCAGTTAGTCCTTCACAAGGATTCTTACCGTAAGCACCGGTTTAGAGTAGTTAATTGATGAGCAGTAGACTGGCGAGAAGAAAGCCTCCCTAGTTACCACGAGCTAGCACTAATTGCTTATTACGTAGCAGGCCCCATTCTAAGCCCTTTACATGCATTAGCTGAGTCCCCACCACAACCCTGAAAGAGGCCCTGTTGTTATGCCCATTTTACAGAGGAGGAAACCAAGACAGCTTAATTTGCTCAAGGTCACATAAAGTAGCAAGGTAGAAAATTCAAACTAATGATCCAGTTCCAGGACCCACGGGTTCATCAGCTACCCCAGGAGTTTTTAAGACTCCTGGGATCATCTGGGGAGATGTTAAAACCAAAGATGGATCCCTAATCCCTACCGGAGACCAGTTACAACAGAACACGTGTCATGGGGTCCCAGCCTGGACTGCTCTTTGTGTAGCGTGTCGTTGTTTTCTTCTTAAACAGGAAGACAGTACCAAGAGGAGTATCAGAACGGCTGTTTAGACCAGGGATGGTGAACTGAACCAGGGACTCAGAGCATTGAGCATGTGGACTGGACCAGGCTCTGTACTAATCCATATATCTAAACTGCAAAGCAGTCCTGAGTGAGGTGTGCACTCTGTTGAAAAATGGCTAACCTGTCCACGTCATACCTCAAGTCTGTGGTAGAAACAGCTAACCACCAAGGTCTCCACAGTGCTCTATCTGAAGGAGCCAGGAGGCTGTGGGGCTCTAATCGGACCTTCAAAGGAGACCACCCAAGTATGGAGCACTGGAGGGAGAAAGCAGCAGGAGGGCTGAGAACACGGCTCAGTGGTAGAGCGCTTGCCTTGCATGCGCAAAGCCCTGAGTTCAGTTCCCAGACCTGCAAAGCAGTAAAAACAAAAGGTTAAAAAAGACTGTAAGGACAAAATGAATAAAGTAAAATCTATAAAAATCTTTCAACCACAAGGTTTTTTGTTTGTTTGAACTCAGGGCTTCACCCTTGCTAGGCAGGCATTCTACCACCTGAGTCACTCGCCAGACCTGTTTATTTTTTAAAATGTTAGGTGACTAAGGCAATGCATGAAAAAAGAACAGAAAAAGATGGTTGTAGTGGCAGGTGAAGGCATAGTGAATTTGGATTTTATTTTATATCATGCTTTTTTTGTCATTAATGATACACAAATACTTTTTCTGGGATGCTAAGTTTTTAATAATGTTAGAAGGAAAAGGGGAATTTTTGGAGACCATTGAAATATCCAAAGGAATATGAATGCCTAGCCAGCATAGCATGGTGGGCCTGTGGAGGGATGGGCTAGTGCTGAAAACATGGAGGAGTATCAGAACTTGATAACAACAAGAGGTAAATTTCGGAGTTTAAAGCAAGGATAACTGCTTTTCCCTCTAAGGGGTGGACAGACTCAGCAAAGTCAGCGTGTTCCTCTTGAGAGGGGTGAAAGAGACAGGCAGAGTGGTTCCAGCATCTCACATGTCCAGAGGCACGCTGACCCTAGAAAGGAATGAGTGTGTTCCAAGGGCAGTGAGCCCTTTCCCCACAGGACAGGAGAGCCCCTGTCCTGGGTGATGCAGGCAGCAGCTGAGGTCTGAACAGATCTCCTGTTTTTCTGGTGACCCACAGGGGAGAGGTTATCACCCTGCCCCCTCCTTTAGGGCCAGCTGGGAGGGGCCGTAGACTATGCTGGAAACCACCACGAGTCTAAGGCCTGAGATATGTGGGCAGTGACATGGAGCATCTCAAGCTAACTTGACTCACAGTTATTTTAAAATCCCAGCTCAGAAGCCAAGTGCAGCCAGAGCCATGGCATGCACACGTAGACCTAGCACTTAGAAGGCAGAGGCAGGAGGATCACTTGAGCTAAGGAGTTCCAGGCCAGCCTGGGCAACACAGTGAGACCCCATCTCTTAAAAGAAAAAAAAAAAGTTAGTCGTCAGAGGTGGTACATGTCTGCAATTCCAGTATTTGGGAAGTGGAGGCAGGAGGATCATGAGTTTGAGGCCAGCTTGGGCTACATAGTTAGGACCCTGTCTCAAAAAAAATTGTTTTTTAAAGCCAGCCACGTCGCTAACGAGAGATGGATTAAATGGGTTAACATGCAGAAAGTGCCCAGGACAGTGCTCAACGTGTAGTAAAAGCTGTGTTAGTCCTGGGCTTCGTAATGATTGCTACATGTCAGATCTGGTGGGCGCCTTCATTCACTGCTGTACGAAAGGCGTTCCGCCAGCTTCAGCTACTTTAGGAGACAGGGTGATCAGAGAAAGTCACAGTGCCATGAGGAAGGCCCCAGGTCCTAGTCAAAGGAGACTTTTTTCGGGGGCCCAGACTTAAGACTCCTGAGGGAAGTGACAGAGAAGACCAAGGATGAAATCAAGTCTTGAGCCTGCATGACCGTGAATGATTCTGCTTGTGGACAGAAGAGCTGGCTGCAGTCCAAGGGCGGTGTTTTAAGGTTAGAAGGAGTTCTAAAGGAATACAGAGAAGTGAGAGTTTTAAGAAAATGTAGTTTTTTGGAACATTTATAGAAGATTTATTAAACTGTAATATACATATCATACAGTATACCAACTTTAAGTGAATAGCTTCTTTTCAGATTGACAGATTTGTACAGCCATCACCACAATGCAGGGTTAGAAAAGTTTCATCACCCTAGAAAGAGCCCTGTTGGTGGAATGGCTCAAGTGGTAGAGTACCTGCCCTAGCAAGCCTGAGACCCTGAGTTCAAACCCCAGTACCGCCAAAAAAAAAAAAGAAGTCTTATACTACCTTATTTCTACCACCAGCCTGTTCTATTAGTTCTTTGAAAATAATTACATAATTTCCTTTTGCAGGATGGCATAGTAAATCCAACAATAAGAAAAGATTTGAAAACCATACCAAAATTCTACTGTTGTCCAATTGAAGGATGTCCTAGAGGCCCTGAAAGGCCATTTTCTCAGTTTTCTCTTGTAAAACAGGTATTTTACTTTTCTTAATATTCTTGTCTGAAGATGAAATATGAGTGGTATAAACCTGGTGTGCGTTCTGATTACTTAGCATGAGTTCTTCGATCCCTCCTTGGTGCTGCTAAGTCCCCTTACAGGGTGTGTCCATGTGAATATGAAGGCATTGGAGTGGAGGAAAGTGTCCAGATGTGTTTTTGAACAGGGAGAGAAGAAGACCATCCAGCCAAGACTGGAAATTTGCATGACTGCCTCCAAAGTCTCTGTGCTCCCAGGGGAAGGACCCTCAGAGTAGGGGACGGGAGTGGAGAACAGCTGTCTTAACACGGGGGAGGCCCCAACCACTGGGGAAAGAGGAATTCAGGACTAGAAGAGACGGTCGTCTGAAATGTTTCCTGAGGGTCTAACAGAGGCGTCCTGAGAGGAGCATCACAGACATCCCCTAGCTGTAAATCCAAGTTCAAGTGCTGGGTTCCAGCATTGGTTCCAAGACAACCTTCTCATTTTGCATGAAGCCAAAACTGTAAGGAGAGGCATGTGGCAGTTTGCTGTTTTAAAGTCTTGATTTGCATATACAAATTTACATTGTAAAAGTGGAACTACTCTTTTGAACTTGGGAGAGGAGGGAAAGGAAAAGAGAATGACAGAGCATCAGTAATATTGTAAAACATCACATCTGTGAAGGTAGAGGATATAAGGATGTGTATTGAAAGCTGTTGAAAAATGGGGGGGTGGGATGTAAAGGGGTGAGGGAGAGTAAATAGAACAAAGTAAAGTATACCCACAGCAGGGATACATAGAGAAACCTCTCAATATTTACTTTGGAATAAATGAAAGACAGAACTGTAAAATAGGGACAATGTGGGGGGTGGGTGGTACTTGTGGGATGAGGGAGAGTGACTGGAGGAGATGAAGGTGAGGGAATATGGTTAATGGGATTCACATACATACACGAAATAGAGCAGTGAAACCTCTTGCAATTGCTTTAAGTAGGGTGAGGTGGGGGTTGCTGGGGTGGGGAGAGGTGGTGGGAGCAATCTAACCAATGTACAATGTAAGAACTGTTACAATAAATCCCCCCGTACAACAAACATATGCTAATAAAAATGGGGAAAAAATTAAATAAGAAGTAAAGTCTTGGTTTGGACTGCCACATTTTATGCCTGGGCAGTGTCATTTGTTTTAGAAGGTTGGTGGTCTCCAGAGTGCTTTGGGCAGTGGCTGTTTCTCATCCGTGTCTCTGTTCTTCACAGCACTTCATGAAGATGCATGCCGAGAAGAAGCATAAATGCAGCAAGTGCAGCAATTCCTATGGCACCGAGTGGGACTTGAAAAGACACGCAGAGGACTGTGGCAAGACCTTCCAGTGCACGTGTGGCTGTCCCTATGCCAGCAGAACAGCATTGCAGTCTCACATCTACCGAACTGGCCACGAGATCCCTGCAGAACACAGGTAAGGGGCAAACAAATGGTGCCACAAAAAATCAGTAGCTGTGGAGAGAGCAAAAGGAATAGTGGAGAACATATGTGCCATCGAAGAAGGTCTTTTGTGTTGTGTTGTGTTTGAGACTTGAACTCTTCATATTCCTGCTTCAGCCTCAGGAGCACTGAGACTACAGAGTGTGCTGCCGGGCCCAAGGCATGGAATCTTGACCCATTTTTTCCTCCTTTTGCTTTTGCCACCCCTCTGTGAGGGGCTCTTACTATTCCCATTCAAAAACCTCTGCTTCCAGCATTTTCTATGAGAGGGATAGTCGATTGTTAAAGGGTAAGTTTATCGTGAATCTACACTTCATTTTAAAATCAAATTTATAGTCATTGTAGTAGCTTCCTGCTCTAAAAATGATAAAATTTGCATTACATATAAATCTTTTAGCTCCCATGTACTAAGTTGAATTCTAATACTTACAAACTAAAAAGGAAAAAGGCATGCTTCCTCCTTCCTGTTGCAAGTTTCTGAACGTCCACCTGCCGTAACAGGCCCAAGTCTCAGAGCTGAGGGAGGGTGTGTCTTCTCTGGCTGGAGTCTGACCTCTGATACGGGAACTAGCATTTGTAAGTGAAGATAGTGTCATGGTCCCAGAAAGCTGCGTTTTAAAATTGTTTCTCTTTTTGCTTTGGCATTGTTTTTAGGGATCCACCTAGTAAAAAAAGGAAAATGGAAAACTACCTGCAAAGCCAGAAATTGTCCAAGAAAACTAGTGAATCCTTGAGCAACCAACCAGTGCCTCAGCCAGACCCTCAAGAACTAAAACCTTCAGAGAGAAAACTAGTAGCTTCTTTTGAAGACTCTTGCAGCTCTAGTGCCAGGAAGCAGAGTGTCACGACACCTCCTAGATACCCTCAGAAGTTGCTTTTACCAAAGCCCAGAGTGGCTCTGGTCAAACTTCCGGTCATGCAGTTTTCTCCCATGCCTGTCTTTGTGCCTACAGCCGACTCTTCGGCCCAGCCAGTGGTGTTAGGTGTGGATCAGGGCTCCTCGGCAGGTGCTGTGCACTTAGTGCCCTTGTCAGTAGGAACCCTGATCCTTGGTCTGGATTCAGAGGCTTGCTCTCTGAAGGAGAGCCTACCTCTCTCAAAAATTATCAGTCCTGTTACCGAGCCTGTTAGTACAGGTGTTCAAGTGAACTTAGGTAAAAGTCCATCTCATCCTTTGCAAGAACTAGGAAACACATGTCAAAAGAACAGCATTTCTTCAATCAACATACAGACGGATCTGACCTATGCCTCACCAGACTTGATACCTTCTGCTCAGTGGCTTGGCCCCGACTCCTCTGTGTCGTCCTGTTCCCAGACTGATCTGTCCTTTGATTCTCAAGTGTCTCTCCCCATTAGTGTTCACACCCAGACGTTTCTGCCCAGCTCTAAGGTAACTTCGTCCATAGCTGCTCAGACCGATGGGTTTATAGACACCTGTTTCCAGCCAGGTGGGATCTCCAGAGAAACCCAAACCAGTGGGATGCAAAGCCCCACAGATGCTCAAGTACCGATGGACCAAGCTGGAATGTGCAGAGACATTTTTGAGAGTGTGCACTCATCATATGATGTTCAAACAGACAATATCATAAGTAGCAGTCTAGCAGCAGAGACAGTGACTCACGGTTTGTTACCTCAGAATGACCCTAAGACTTTAAATCAAGATATGGAGAAATCTGCACCCATTTTAAACTTCAGTGCACAGAACATGACAGATAACCAGACCCAAACCATAGATTTACTCAGTGACTTAGAAAACATCTTGTCAAGTAACCTTCCTGGTCAGACACTGGATAACCGGAGTCTTTTGTCTGACACAAATCCTGGGCCTGACACCCAGCTCCCATCTGGCCCAGCCCAAAATCCCGGGATAGATTTTGATATTGAAGAGTTCTTTTCAGCCTCAAATATCCAGACTCAGACTGAAGAGAGTGAACTTAGCAGCATGAACACTGAGCCAGTCTTGGAATCACTGGACATAGAGACCCAGACCGACTTCTTACTCGCAGACCCCTCTGCTCAGACCTATGGGTGCAGGGGGAGTTCGAACTTCTTAGGCCTGGAGATGTTTGACACACAGACACAAACAGACTTAAACTTCTTCTTAGACAGTAGCCCTCCTCTGCCCCTAGGCAGCATTCTGAAACACTCCAGCTTCTCCATGAGCACTGATTCATCTGACACAGAGACGCAAACCGAAGGAACCTCCGCCACTAGACACACACCTGCTTTAGAGAGCAAGGTTCAGTTGAACAGTGCAGAGACACAGACCATGCGTTCTGGCTTTGAAGCCCTGGGAAGCTTGTTCTTCACCAGCAATGAAACTCAGACAGCGATGGATGACTTTCTTTTGGCTGATTTGGCCTGGAACACGATGGAGTCTCAGTTCAGCTCTGTAGAAACTCAGACATGTGCCGAGCTGCACACAGTCTCCAACTTCTGAAGGTGGAGTCCACACTGCGACAGTATCTGCTGCTCCCTTATGGATTTAGAACACGGCACAGGGACAACAGTGCTGGCTATGGAATGTATTAGGTGATGTGGCTGTTTATCCTCTGTGGGTCTTTGCCTTTTGTACTTGTAAACATGAAATCTGTGTATAAATGTGAGTGTATATAAAGTGTAAGTTGACCTAAAAACAAATGTGTGGCCTACATTTGCTCCTTCACAACTAGTCTTTCCATCTTTTTTTTTTTTAAATTTCACAGCTATAAAACCCATACAGCCATTTAGCTGAAGCCAGGCTTTCCAGGTACGAGAGTGCAAACTTAAACCTTCAAAATGTTTTAGTGAAGTGTAATACACTTAAACTGCACCTAAAACACTTCAGCCGATGATGCCTCTGTGGTTGGAGACTCCTGCTCAGCAGCTGCGTCTGCTTTGCTGTCTCACACAAGGGAAACTGCAGCTCGCTTTAGATTTTGCTGGTTATCGTGTGGTCACTGTCATCCCTGCTCTCACGGGCTGTTACTGCTGCCAGCATGAGTGTACAGTCCTTACTCAGTTTGTTGCTGCAAAGTTGCTGCCTAGCAAAAGAGCTATAAGCACTTAGTGTAAATAGCCATCCTTCTAGTACAAGTGAGGCATCGAAACCACAGGAACCTAAGTGGTGAAATCATGCCTATTTCTTTGAAAAGAAAACTTTCCTCTGCTTTCCACCACCATCGATCCAGAAGACGTCTGATCAAATGTGTGCGTTTCCCCATGCCAGCCGGCAGCCAGTTCTGCAGCAGACACCCAGCTTGGTGTCTTCTGGTGCCAGGCAGTTCTGACAGTGCCTGGAGTCCAGGCCTCCAGAGCCTCTAACCAGCTAGAAATTGGGAATCCCGTGACCCCTTCCTTGCGGTCAGTTAATTTGTTAGCTCATCTCACAGAACTCAGGGAAGCAGTGTTACTGCAGAGGACACAGATGAAAAGACAGGGTGAGGTGCGTGGGAAGGGTCGCAGGCCTCCACACCCTCTCCTGGCACATCACCTTCCTGGAACCACCACGTATATGTTCAGCTATCTAGAATGCTCGAAAGTCCTTTGGGTCTGGGGGGAGAAATGACCCAAACATTGTATGCACATATGAATAAAAGAAAAAAGTCCTTTGGGCTTTTAATAGGAGCTTCAGTAAATGGGCATGATTGATTAATCACTGGTGACTAACAACCTTCAACTCTTCTCCCCTCCCTGAAGGTTGGTGGGAAAGTGAGGTGGAAAATGTCCCTAACCCTCTAAGCATGCCTTGGTCTCTTCTGTGACCAGTCCCCATCCTGAAGCTACCTAGGGGCTACCAGCCACCAGTGATCCCATTAGCATGTGAACAAAACACTGTGGCATTACAAGATATTAGGAGCTGTGTGCCAGGCAGGAAGACCAAATATATATTTCACATTGTTAACGTCTGTTTGCAGTTGTCCTTCCTGCTCTCCACAGCAGGCCAGAGTGGGGCTCCAGAGCAGACTCCATAGCAAACCCAGGCTGTGTACAAGTTTGTCTCTCTAAAGTGTTAAAAATGACCAGTTGGGGAGAGGAAAGGACTTTCCTGCCTTCCCCCATTTCAGTACTTTTCACTTCTAAGCTTGATAGGGCAAGTAGTTTTAATTACTTTAAAGAATTTTAAAGTGACCTTTCCCTTCAGTAAGAAACACTTTGGTCCGGCAAGGATGTTATTTGTGCTTTGAGGCTAACAAATATGGAATAGATTCATGTAAAGTGTGATATTCTGCATTTTGTTGCTTTATTTACTTCTTGAGAGCTTGTTTGGAGGTTCTAGCAGGGGAGCGCAGCTACTCGTATACCCTTGACCGAAGAACGGTCCTCCTCTATCGGGGATGGTCGTCCTCTTCGACCGAGCGCGCAGCTTCGGGAGGGACGCACATGGAGCGGTGAGGGAGGAAGGGGACACCCGCCTAGCCAGCCAGATCAGCCGAATCAACCCTGGCGATCAATGGGGTGACAGATGTCGCAGCCAGATCGCCCTCACATCCGCTTTATTTACTTCTTAAAGAGGAATTACCAAACAGTGCTGCCTGAAGGCTGAGTCCTCAAAATAAAACCCAAGAAGGGGACTAATGGTTCATTACAGCACATTGATGGTGTTGGTACTAATGCTTATCCCATGCAGCTGATGCAAAGGACTTGGTAATGGGTTAATAAACCTGTCAGGGCAGATGAACTCAACCTAGGAGAAAAACTTGGCTTTGGTCACAGTTGCCTAGAAACATGGGTTTCAGAACAAACATAAAGCCTTAACTTAGATTTTCATGTCTTAGAATCATCACTGCCTTAATGTTCAAACATCTATTTAAATTGTGCTAACAAAAGAGAAGTGCATGTTTGTTTGTGACTTTCTGTAAATAAAAATGCAGTGATCTATGGCTGTAAATTTTCTGTTTCAGTGACAATGTTTATTATTCCAGCCAAAAGTTACAGGAAAATGGAGCATGTAATTGTTCTTCATGTATAAGAACCGTCCCTCTCCCCCAAGCTTAGTCACCTGAATCGTCCTCAAATTATTTGTAAAAATTGAAATTCCGTGATTAAAGACAAGCTAGAATTCTACCTTTTCGTGTAAGTTCTTCAACCTACTTACTCGTGATGTGACTTACTTTGTTGCCTTAACTTTTTAGACTCATCATCTTCAGAAGAAATGATAATGATTGTGCCCAGTTATTTTCATTATTGTTTTACCTTTGCTCATGAAAATATGCCACAATTTTCCTTAAGGCGCTCTGTTACCAAAGTGCCTATTTGGAGTAGATAAATACTATACTCCTTAGGGTTTCAGTTTTGGGGGAAAATTTACTCAAAGTGTCTAGTTAATGAATTTACTCCAATTAGTGCATCACCAAATCTGATCATTTTATAATGGGCTGCCAGAGTGAGCACTGGGTAGCCTTTTATCCCTAAATAATGTGGTTCTAGTGTAAGGTGGAAAAAGGGCTAGGATATAATTAGTTCTTTGCTCACTCACTCATTTGCAAGAAAATCAGAGTAGTGTGTTTCTGATCCCTTCAGATAAAGGGAAAATAAACTACAAATTTTGTGTAATACCTGAAAGATGCTGAGTAAAATTGGAAGTTGCTTTTTCCCTTGAAGAAAATGAGCAGTCCAGGCTGGTGGAGTGGCTTAAGTGGTAGAGCGCCTGCCTAGCAAGTGTGAAGCCCTGAATTCAACCCCCAGTACCACCAAAAGAAAAAAAAAAAAAGTTGGTAAAAAGAAAATGAGCAGTATTGGTCTGACTGAAGTAATTGACATTAATACTGGCAACTGATAGGGTTATGTTTGCAGTAATTCTTTATGACCTGAATTTTAGGATGTTTGTAGTGACTCAATCCAAACCTGCTAGTCCAGACTCCACGGAGCACCTACTGCCTGGGACATTTATTTTTTTTTTTTCATTTTTCTTTTATTATTCATATGTGCATACAAGGCTTGGTTTATTTCTCCCCCCTGACCCCACCCCCTCCCTTACCACCCACTCCACCCCCTCCCGCTCCCCCCCTCAATACCCAGCAGAAACTATTTTGCCCTTATCTCTAATTTTGTTGTAGAGAGAGTATAAGCAATAATAGGAAGGAACAAGGGGTTTTGCTGGTTGAGATAAGGATAGCTATACAGGGCATTGACTCACATTGATTTCCTGTGCGTGGGTGTTACCTTCTAGGTTAATTCTTTTTAATCTAACCTTTTCTCTAGTTCCTGTTCCCCTTTTCCTATTGGCCTCTGTTGCTTTTAAGGTATCTGCTTTAGTTTCTCTGCATTAAGGGCAACAAATGCTAGCTAGTTTTTTAGGTGTCTTACCTATCCTCACCCCTCCCTTGTGTGCTCTCGCTTTTATCATGTGCTCATAGTCCAATCCCCTTGTTGTGTTTGCCCTTGATCTAATGTCCACATATGAGGGAGAACATACGATTTTTGGTCTTTTGGGCCAGGCTAACCTCACTCAGAATGATGTTCTCCAATTCCATCCATTTACCAGCGAATGATAACATTTCGTTCTTCTTCATGGCTGCATAAAATTCCATTGTGTATAGATACCACATTTTCTTAATCCATTCGTCAGTGCTGGGGCATCTTGGCTGTTTCCATAACTTCTGCCTGGGACATTTAAACCAGTGCTTCTCAGACTTACTCTCTCAAGGCCCTTGGAGTGAGAAGGGACCTAGGGGTAAAGCCTTTGAAGTCAAGCACTATGCAGTCTTGTTTTCCTCATCTCACAATACATCTGTGTGTGTTGTCATCTGAAGTGCCATTGATTACGCTGGACACTAGGAGAGGACAACACATACCCCTTCATACTCTCAACATCTAAATGACTCCAGTTTAAATGACATGAGTTTAATCTAGCTTCTTCCGCAAGATGCTGGCTAGAAGAACATTCTCGTGACCAAAGAAATGACTTCACCCATAGGAGTCTTTCCGTTGCTGAAAGTATATTTATTAGCAGATAGAGACGCTGATATATTTACAAATCAAGACACACAGGCCAGAGAACAAATGTAGAGGCTTCTCAGCGTGTTGGTTCTCCAATGCTAACTGATGTGAACCACATTTCAAACAAGCATTGTGGAAGGAGCAAGGCCCCAACTATGTAAATGAATAAAAATACTATTTATATTGTACTTGGACTAAATTACACTACTCATCCAGTTCTCTCAACACACTTAGAAATAATTATAAATTTCAAAGACATTTATAGCTTTGTTCTAAATTCACAAATTTTGCAGGTTGGCCTATGAGAAACTTACAGCTATGGCTGAAGCAAGTTAATATTACAGGATACAGGCTGTAAGAAAGAACCATGAAAAAGTTAAAACCAAGTGTTCTTTTTAGTTTTCAGTGAAATAGGAAAATATTTCTAAAAATGAAAACTTTTTGGAAACAGTTATCTCCATGGGGACTTGACAGTCTCAAAAGCAATTTATCACCTCTAATGAGTATTACCTCAGCGTGAACAAAGACTATTCTTTCTGGCCTAGGGAGCGAGCTTATTAGCATGGCGTGTGTGAAAAGATGACATGCTGGGCTTCCATCTCCTGACCGCTTCTGCCTGCAGCGTTACTCTCTGCTTTCTCCATGCTTTTTCCATGTCCTGGGTGAAATATTTGGTTTTAGGACTGAATGAATAACTGATCCCTCTCCTACTTTATCTTCTTTTTCCTGTGCTGTAATGAAAAATTTAGTAGCTTCAGAAAATGTAAAAGCCATCTGTGCTGTAATAAAAATGTGGCAGAAGTCAGTGCATCCAAATTATCACAAAAGAAAACTTAGCCATGAAAATTCTCAATAACTTTTGCCAACTTAAAAGCAAACCTCCCAATGGATACTGTGGCTCACACCTGTAATCCTAGCTACTCAGGAGGCAGAGATCAGGAAGATGGTGGATCTAGGCCAGCCTGAGCAAAAACTTCTCGAGACCTCCATCTCCACCAATAAAAGCTGGGCATGGTGGTGCACTTGTTATTCCAGCTATGTGGGAAGCCAGCCCAGGCATAATCGCCAGACCCTATATCAAAAATTAAAGCAAAAGAGGCCAGGTGCATAGCCAAATGGTAGAGTACCTGCCTGGCAAGGGCAAGGCCCTGAATACAAACCCTAGCAACTGCCTCCCCAGAATAATAAATAAACCTCCAAAATGAGGATCTTAGACTTTTGAGAAACCAAACCTTGGCAAATTGTGCTTTGCGAATTACTTGTATTGTCATAGTGATGGAAGTGATTTTTGTTTTGCTGTATTTGGGAGTCTAGTCCTGTTCATGAATCAGAAGCTGGCATTGATCTTTTTTCTTTTGCACCTTCTCAGGAAGATGTGGCATGTGTCTGTGCCCTTTTGTGAATATGATTCTTACAGGTAAACTTCTGAGTTCCAGGCAATGCACACTTTCTTTTTCATAGGTTCTTCCACTTTACTCAAACTTAAAAGATATGAAAGTGATTACTAAGGCATGTCCCCACATGACACTTGTTGCCTCTTAATATTTATACCTGCTTAGCACAAGCAGGGAGTATGGAAGAGAATGTTGCTTAAACATTACAGATTCTGAATTATGGCACTAAATATAGAAGCATTGTGGAAGCCCTGCTAAAGCAGTAAGGGTGCAGAATGCCCACAGCTCTTTCTGAATGGGCTGGGGAGAGACTGTCCTCACCAGCAAGCACACTGCAGCTGCTGCTTTCTATACACCGAGGCAGATACATCAAAAAGGACCAGCATGTGGGTGCACCTGTGCCTTTGGGGACTAAGCCAGCATTGCCTTTCCCACTGTATCTTCACACCTCAGCTGTCACAGAAGCTGCTAACAAAGGCAGTGGGTTCTAGAAGTTAATTCCCTAAAGCATTGCTTCTTCACTGGGGCAGTTTTGTCCTGCAGGGGGGGCGCATTTGGCAATGTCTGGAATTTGGGGTTGTTGCAATGCATCTAGTCAGAAGGCTGCCCCACATACACAAGGAATGATCCAGCCCAAAATGCATCAGTGCCAAAGTGGAAAGCCTTTCCAGACGCTGGGCAGAACTTCAAGCATTGCTGTAAACGCAGTACCAAGCTGGGTGCTGATCCTCTAGAAGTTATGTATGATGTTTATAAGCTGCTCACAGAAGGCTGAGTCCTCAGTCTTATGTAAAAAATATTTTTAAGTCTCTTTAGGGATTTTACTATTAACAACTTTTTTTTTGGTAGCCAAGCTGGCCTCAAACTCCCAAGCACTGGGATAACATGAGTGCACCATCACACACAGGTATTTACAACTTATGAAATGTGTAAGTTGGAGTTCACTTTTTTTTGATGGGACTGGGATTTGAACTCAGGGCTTCACATGTGCAAAGCAGGCTCTCTACTAGACCCATACCACCAGAACATTTTTGCTCTGTTATTTTGCAAATGGGGCCTCTTGAAGTATTTGCCCACACTGGCCTTGAATCTTGATCCTCCTGATCTCAGCCTCCCAAGTAGCTAGGATTACAGGCGTGAGGCACCAGTGCCCTGCTGCTTTTTCTTGACTTCATACTAGAAAGGCCAGGATCCAGAGCAAGTGTGAAAGGAACCTAGAACAGAAAGAACTGTCTGTAATAGGTCTGCAGGCAAGTCAACTGTGCTAAAATGATGGAATTAGGAAAGAAGGGCCTTAAGTGTTTATCCCCTCAATTTATAGGACAAAGGCAGCAAGGCCCATGGGGAAAGCCAGGGTGTAAAAAAAATAATCAAGTCTCCTAATAGCTCTCAACCCAGGGCCCAGCTTAGCTTGGTAGTCAAGAGCATAGCAATGAGTCTGCTCGGGGCCCCCGTTTGCCTTGCAGACAGCAGAAGAGGGTCCCTGGGTGCCAGCGACAGCCCTGAGTTTCCACCTGCCAAGAAGCTAATTTCTTTCTTCCCTGAAACTACAGCCCAACAAGACCTAGACAGAATATGCAGCCGTGCAGCACCCACTGGGCCAGCTCGGGGCGCTCACAGCTAGATGAGCCAGGACTTCTGTGGTCTCCCATCCTGGCGCTCCTCAACTTGGAGGGAGGAGAGGTAGGATGCAAATTTGACTATGGTTCAGATCACTGTATAGCACGGTCTTTGAAGTACAGATGCATTTCATCATATGGGGTAAAGTTCCCAATAAGAATAAAGTTAAAAATTGGGGAAAGTCTTCCCGAGTAGCCAAACACCTACATACTTGTCCAAACACAGCCAGGCCTTATTTTTAGTTTTCCTGTTGTCCCCCAAACATCTAAGGCTATAGTGTGTGTTCATACAATGAGTGACACCCATCATCTCTCTGTAAGATCCACATTCTGGCCCCTCCGTTGCCTTAACTAGGCATCAGCAGCCTCCCCAGGCTCCACCTGACCCAAGGCACTGTGGAAACCTTGTGTCTGATGCTGCCAGAATTCTACTAGGTGATTTTGAAGAAAAACAGTTGGAAGTGTTTACTAATGAGATATCCAAAAATAACCGAATGAGGAATGACACACAAGCTCCCCATGCAGAGTTTGGAGAGAGCCAGAGGAACCAAACCTGCCTCAGGGCAGGAAGTGCCAGGGGCCCCTCTGTCAGGACATGCTTGACTGGAAGTCAGGTTAGTCCCCAGATGTTTGGTTGGTGACTCAGAATCCCCATGGGAGACTATTTTCTGTTCAACAGCCTGCCTTTATCTAGACTTGGACAGCAGAGGGCTGTCCTGAGCTAATCTGAAAGAAAACTGGGACAAGGCCTAAAGTGACTTCATCTACAGAGAGACAAGCCAAACCCAGGCTGTGGAGAAGATGCCAGTGGGCATTATCAGGTACTTGAATACCTGGACCCAGAGATGTCAAAGGCAAAAGAAATTTTCAATCTACTCACAGAGGAATCTTCTAGTCAATATTTTGTCAGACTATTTGTTCAAAAAGGATTCTATAAGAGCTGAACATGGTGGTACACATCTGTAATCCCAGCAATAGTTAGGCTGAGGCAGGGCTAAGTAGCAAGACCCTGTCTCAAAAAAACAAAAAGATACAAGTTTTTTGGGGGATTGGAGGGCGTAAGGAGTGAACCCTGGGCCTTGCATACACAAGCACACGTTCTACCCCTGAGCTACATCCCCTGCCACCTAACAAACCTTTAGTAAACTTGGGCCCTTCCTTTGTTCAAACTGGCTCTCCTCTTAGTTCTAAATTATTTTATGGGGCTGGGGTGTAGCTCAGTGGTAAGCATTTACCAAGCATATAGTGTATATTTTCACCAAAGTCTGTAGAATTTATGATTTTTTTTGTAGTACTGGGATTTGAACTCAGGGCCTACCACTTGAGCCACTCCACAAGCCCTTTTTTTGTGATGGGTTTTTTCAAGATAGTCTCACAAACTATTTGCCCAGGCTGGCTTTGAACCATGATCCTCCTGACCTCTGCCTGAGTAGCTAGGATTACAGGCCTGAACCACTGGCGCCTGGCTGAATTTATAATTCTTATCTGAAAAAGTCTTAACAAAAATTATATTGTCTGGGGGAGAAATGACCCAAACATTGTATGCACATATGAATAAAAGAAAAAAAAATTATTAGCACCTTGGGCTGAGCAAGCAAGGCCTAATCCTTCCCTCATGCTAGGAGACACCCTCCCCAACACAGGCTCTTGGCAGTTTTACATATTGTGCTTTCTCACTCTTCTGCCTTAGAAAGGGGACTCAAAAAATCACTAATGTGAGTAGGTGGGCTGCCAGAGCTGGAAGGTCCTTGACCTGTGCTGCATCCTACACCCACTGTCCAGAAACACTGGGAAATCTGCCTCCTCTTTGGGACAGAATCCAGGTTTTTTTTATTCAGGGTAGGAAAGAAAGAAAATACAAATTCCTAACAATTACTTCAGAACGTAAGCTCAGTAGGCACATTACACTCGATGACTATTGTACTACAATTCTTCCAACCTTTCCTGTGTTCCTTTTTTTTTCTTTTCTTCTTCTTTTTTACCCTTTCTGGTTTTTTCACACAGTGTCTCCATATGTAGCCCACACTGACCTGTAACTCACAATCCTTCTGCCTCTGACTTTCAAGTGCTAGGATTGCAGACGTGCACCACCATGCCAAGTTGAAATTTCTTGAGAACCAACCAACAAAACAAAACACTGAGGCTGACAGCCAAGACATTACAAAGACCAGTTTTGTAAAACAAATGTTTACAGTCATATTCTGTCCATCATTTAGGGGATGGAAAGTCCAGAGTTCCAGTACAACCTACCTTAAGCAATTCAAACTATATGGTTACAAAGGAGCTTAATAGTTAGTTACATCACAAAATGGTTTGCTAGAACATCTGTCTATGTAACATCATCACTGGTTAAAATATAAAACTGGTTAAAAATATAACTCATTTACAACATTTAATTAATGTACAAGTTCAAGAAATATGTACTTGGGTAAAATTAAATGAAGGCCGAGGGAGAACAGAGGGAAAAAGTGACAGCCTCATTCCCTAAGTGTCTAGGATTGAGGGTTCCCAAATATCACATGCAAACCTGGAGGAAGCAGGTGGGGTGACAATGATCAGAGTGGCTTTTCTTCCCCAAATAGCTAACTATTTTTGACCTGTTTCCAGGACTAAAACTTCCTGACAGAGGTGAGCATGAGCCCACAATACGAGGACTTGACACCCTGGACACACAGGACCACGTGTATCCATGGACAGATAGAGGACGTGACACCCTGGACACTAAGATAGTCACTCAGATACAGACTGGAGTTTTCTATTAAACAACGTCTCAGATCTGTGCTGGGAGAGAAAATGAGGCAGCAGAGAGTTAGCACCTGTTTCAAAAGACCAGGAAGCAACACGATCTAACCCAGCACAGTGTGCTTAGCTTAACACACTGGGGTAGGACAGAAAGAGACCCTGCCGGACACAGGGAGGCCTCTTCAGGTTCTCCACCTACCCTATGGCTTCCACTAGGCAAGGAAAGAAGGCAGGCAGAAGCTGGGGCTGGCATTGCCAACTTGCATATTGTAAATAGCTTAGCACAGAGGCAGGCAACATGAACACGGTGAGGTTTTTTTTGGTATGGTTTTAAAGTTTTGGCGGGGGGAGGGGAGGGCAGGAGGGGCAGGACTGGGGTTTGAACTCACGGCTTTGTGCTTACAAAGCAGCTGCTCTACTGCTTGAGCCATACTTCCAGGCCATTTTGCTCTGGTCATTTTTTTTTTGGAGATGGAGGTCTCACGAACTATTTGCCTGGTTAGCCTAGTACTGCAATCTTCCTGATCTCAGCCCAAAGCTAGAATTGTAGGCATGAGCCACCAGCACCCAGCTACGTGTAGTTTTTGTTTGTTTGTTGAGAGATGGTCTTGCTATGTAGACCAGGCTGGCCTCAAACTCAAGATCTTCCTACCACAGCCCCTGATTGCTGGGATTACAGGTATGCACAACACCTGGCCAAATATGGTGTTTTTGAGAATAAATCCAAACCCATCCAAGGATGTTCTGTCCTCTGGTTCTTGTGTTTTAAAAAGGGATGAGGTGAGGAGGGAAGAAAGAAGATGGGAGAAAAGAGAAGGGAAAGGAAAGGAATAGGGAGGAGGAAAAAGGATAAGGGATGAGAGGAGAGAGAAGAGAGTGGGGGTAGGAGAGGGGAGAAAGGGAAAGACAACCGAGTTTCAAGCAGCACTTATTCCCAGGGAACTCTATTGGGGTAAGTCAGAGGTATCTGTGAGTGGAGACGGGAATGACAACTCGGCTCACTGTGAGGGACGGCAAGAGCGGTCTTGGGAACACATTGGTCTCCAGCGTTTGGGGCCTGTTTTCCTGGCTGGCCTTTGTGAGAAGGTGCTTTGTAGTGTTCCTGAGAGGTCTCGGCTCCTTGGCTTTGAATTTGGCTTTGTGGCTTTGCGTGCCCTGTTTCTGCAAAGGCTGCAAGGTGGCAAGACAGCGTACACTGTTGGGATTGGGAAGGCACCCCAGGTTTTTCTCAGGCAAGAGGGGCCAGTATGGGCAGCACAGCTCTGAATCAGCCAGCAGGAGTGTCTGGGCCACGGGCGAAGGGAAAGGCATCTCATCGGTGACCTTACGGTGCTTGGCCAGCTCCAAGTGTCTCTTTTCACTTTTCCCATCAACTGTTTTCAATCCATATGCACAAGCTACACACTCATCCTTCTCCACCTTCAGCACCTTCTCTTCCGACTGCCAGAAAATGCTCTTATTCTTCTTACCCAGAACATCCATACTGTTTGAGGGGGCAGCTTTCAGGGGAGGCAGAACCAGGAGGGCCTTGGAGGTCAAGGAGTCTGAGATGGAGAGCCCTCTGCCAGTGCCTCTGCTGGGACTCCTGGGGGCCTTGCCACTAGTTGTCTCAGGGATGGCACAGTCTTCCATGCTCCAGATAAACTCCTTGATTTGCAGACTTTTTTTTTCCCCATGAATGTAGGTGGGAGAGCAGAGTTTGGTGCTCTCCCTACAAGCAGTGTGAGGGCCCTGGGAGGGCCCTGGAGTCTGGGAGGGGTTGCTCCAATTCTTCTCCAGGCTCAGGTCAGCCATAGCCCCTGCCTCCCATCTCCCAGCCTCCATGGAAGGCTTGGCCTCCAGGATCCCTTGAGAGAGACTGACACAGAACAAGCAGCTGCTGCTGGCACTTTCTCCTACCCTGGCCTTTTTCAGTTTCTTCCGTGGCCAGATGCAGGCAGCTGGAGAAATCTTTCCCCAGCCACAGACCTGTAAATAAAGCAGCAGATTACTTTCTAGTTGTGCTGCCCAAACTCTAGCTCCATCAATTTTGGCCACATCCTCATTTTGGAAGTCTTATTTCAAACAACATTTTTTTCTTAAAATTGACTCACCTCTTAAAAAATAAAAACTTTTAATGTCTATTTTAACTTCATACTGAACAACAGCATTTTTGATAGTATGTGTTAATCCTGCATACTAGCAACAGTACTTATTACTACTAAAACACTAGGCAATATTATTTGTAAATGGCCCCTTTGATATGTTGACTACATTTCTTTTCAGAAACCCACTAAATCCAGCACTTTTTTTTTGGCAGTACTGGGGTTTGAACTCAGAGCCTACTCCTTGAGCTACTCCACCAGCCCTGTTTTGTGAAGTATTTTTTCAAGATAGGGTCTCACAAACTATTTGCCTGGGCTGGCTTTGAACCACCAGCCTCCTGATGTCTGCCTCCTGAGTGGCTATGATTACAGGTGTGAGCCATAGGCACCCGATGAATCCAGAACTACTAAAATAAAATAAAACACTCCTCATTCTGTCCTACCCCTAAGGATTTCTTCCCAGGCCCAGGGAAGGTGGTTGTCTAGAGAAACTGGAGGAACAGCAACGAGCAGAGGTATCCCAGGTACATAGAAGCTCTGTGTGTCCAAGGGGTGCCTACACCCACCCATGCCTGTAGTCCCCTGTCTGACATAGCCAGAAGTCACTATTAAAACAGGACTGACACATAAAAATACAGGACCAGAGATGTACATAGTGAGACACTCCTTAATGCCAGCACTGGGGAAGCTCAGAGAGGGTGATCACAAGTCTGAGGCCAAGCTTGGACTTCATAGCAAGACCCTGCCTCAAAAAAAAAAAAAAATGCAGGACCATACCTACGACATATTTAACACTAAGTAAGTTAGGTACTGCTTACCTGAAACTCAAATTTACTTGCCATTTTATATTTTTGGCTACTTAATCTGACATCCTTACATTTAATCTTAGATTTGACCAAGCTTCCTTAGTTTTAAATTTAGGATTCCATTCTTGATTCTAAGAATTATTGAGGAATAAATCCACAGGGTTCTGTGTAGAACCACGAGGACAGAAACTTCTGGTCTCTTGGGAGCTTGCACAGTGGTGAAGCAGCTCTGGTCTGAGTCCAGAAGACCTGGATTAAAGCCCCCCCTTACCTATTTACTGGATAGGTGGTCTTTGACATGTTACTTCACTTTCTGAGTACCTCAGATAGCTACTGAGAGGTTGAATGAATGACTGAATGAATGAATGAAAAGCATTTAGTTCTTAGCTGTGCACATACTAAGTGGTGACGGGCACATACTAGCAGGCACTGTGGCCATCGGTTCGAGGTTCTGACAGCTCAACGACTGCACACTTTTGATAATATGAACTATTTGGGGGAAAGGCCTCCATCAAACACCAGAGTAAAAAAGACCCAAGAAGACACTCACAGCCTCTTCCCACCCAGTGCCGATGACAAACTCAGTGGCTCTTTCGTCCTCTTCAAGTGTAATGTCACTGATGTTGAGAAGACAACAAACGTGATTCTTTTCACTTCTTTCATCTGGACAAGTAAAGGTTAGTTCAGTTTCTTCTGTGCTTTGAATTTCACTACTCTCATTATTTTCTAAATCAGTCTCACTTTCCTGAGAGAGATCCATTACTGGGATGGTTGCTTATAGTTTTTAACATCTTCTTCCTGCAATTTGAGAATAACAGGAATTCAGTGTATTGAACTAGTTTTTAATATTAATTTTTAAAAGCAACTCAATAACAGATGAAATATCTTAAGACATTCAGGAATAGACTGAAAACAAGTATTATAAACCATCCACTGTCAACGACTGATGTTATAAAAGATAAGGCTGATTTTAATTAAAGACCCAACAGATTTAATTAAAGATCAAAGTCAGGAGTGAAGAGGAGAAGATGACTTTAGCACAGGCTCTGTCTCTTGCAGTCCAGAGTACACTAAGGTCCAAGCACCTCTATTCCCCAAAACATGTCCAAATGACACTATGCTGACATCAAGAGAACAGTCATGGACAAGTGTGATTTATGCACCACAACCTCCTCCTTCCAGACCCACAAGCTTTAGAGGAAGCTGACAAGCCTAAATCCAACCATATCAAATTACATGAATTATAAATGGACTAGATACTGATATTAAAAGATAGAGACTGTCTGTGTAGATTTTTTAAAAAGAGCAGTTAACCTGAATGTATGCTGTCTACAAGAGATGCATTTTAAACATAGAATGTAATGAGATGAAAAGAAATAGACTTATCTGCTAACTCCTGGAATAGCCCTATCTCTAGACTTTGGGTAATATTCCCCAGAAATTCATTTCCCCAATTTCAAATATTTTTAAAAGGACAAGGCATATTTGCAAAGCAATTATGTATATAATACACTTAATTATATTCAATTGACAAGAGTACACAGGAAAAAGAAATGTGAGGGAAATTCCATGTTGTCACACTATACCAATCCCTCTCTATTTTAGTTTCTTAGTTGCAAAATGAGAACACCCTCATTTGTCAAGACCTTTTATGGAGATTAAATGAAAGAGTACATGTTAAAAAGCCCAGGGGAGGAATCAGTCAATAAATAGTAGGTAGTATGGCTTGAATTGCATTCCCCCAAATTCATATTTTGAAGTCCCAATCCCCGGTACCTGAGAACGTGGCCTTATTTGGAGATAGAATCTTAACAGGGATAATCAAGTCAGAATGAGGTCTGTAGGACTGGCTCCAATTCAGTATGACAGGCATCCTTATACAAAGAGGAAATTTGGATACATAGACATGCAGAGAGGGGAAAAGATGTGAAAAGACACGGAGAAGAAACCCATCTACAAGCTAAAGAGAGTAGCCGAAAACAGATCCTTTCCTCAGAGCCCTCAGAAGGAACCAACCCTGCTAATACCTGATTTTGGACTTAGCACCTCCAGAACTGTGAGATAATAAATTTCCGTCTAGTCCAGTCAGGGATGCTTTGCTATGGCAACCCTAGAGAACGAGCAGTATGATAGTGACGACGACGACGATGATGCTACCTCTCCTTGGCAGGTGCTTTTCCAGGTTGAAAAATGAAACTTGGAATTTATAAACCAATCAAAAGGTCTGGAAAAGTTGTGGTCCTGATCAGATCAGACTCTGGAGTCAAACAGGCTAATAGTTCCGATCCATCGTGACCTTGAGCAAGTTACTTCTGGATCTGTCTGGCCACCTATGCAAAGCACACAGTCACAGTGCCTTCCCACAGACAGGGTTCTTCCTGAGGACCCCACAAGCGGTGGGAATTCCATAAAATGCTTATGCAGGGGCTACCAACAGTCCAGCAGCCAGTGTCCTCTCCAGGAAGTCCTTGCTATGAGGAGACATAAGCCAGCGGGAGCCACCCTTCGCTTTCTCACACTGAGACAAGATCCCTGGCAGAACCACCTTTCCATTTGCTGTGGAGGTAGAGATCAGTACTTCCCATTGCAACTGTTTAACGGCCACTTTGGCTCCCTCACACAGGCTTGAGGTGGCATTCTGATGGGGACAAAGCTCCATTTACCCATGGAAAAGCCAGAATCTGAGCATCCTATTCGTTTTCAATAAGAGGAAGGGTGGCATGGCTCACCCAGTGGAGCACGTGCCAGTGAGCATGACACCTCAAGTTCAAACCCCAGTCCCACCCCCCCAAAAAAATGCTACTGTCCATTTCCAAGATGACATCAAGGGAAATGAACGAAATCTTAAAGGAAAAAAACTCTGTCACAAGTGACTGAGAACTAGAAGCACAGATTAGACAGATTGTTCAAGTCAGCCTGACACTTTCATGTTCTGAAATTTGACATCAGACACTGCCTGGCCCAAGAAGCTCCTACAAGCACACGACACAGACCTTGTTCCCTTCTGAATCACAAGTGCATTTTTCTGTGGAACCCCACAGACTTAACAAGTAACAAGTGCACAGTTTAAAGAAAATGTTCTCTCAATGTTTGGATGAGAGAAAGCAAGGTGTGGGTCCCCAGTGGCTTATGAGTCAAGAGCAAAGTCATTTACTAAATAATAAAATAAATTGAATTGAAGTTAATATAGAAAAGAAACAGACACTATTTGGGAGAGATTAAGTATAGTCAGAATGTTAAGATCAGTGAGGAAAATGTTCTGTGCTTGAATTACCTCCAATGAAAAGGCAGAACATGGAGAACCTGGTCCAATGACAAAGTTCTCTAATTTACTGGTCCTCAAATGTGGCTGCACTTGGGAGTCCTGGGGAGTTTTATAAAAAGTACTGATTCCTAGACTAAGGTCTAGGTGGGTCTGGGTATAGTATAAGTGTTGGGATTTTTTTTTTTTTTTGAGATGGGGTCTCACTATGTTGCCTATGTTGGCCTCAAACTCCTAGGCTCAAGTATTCCTCCTGCCTCAGCCTCCCAAGTAGCTGAGATTATAGGCACATGCCACCACATCTGGCTGGAGGGTTTTTTTGTTTTGTTTTGTTTTTTCATGGTACTGGGGTTTGAACTCAGGCCGTTGCACTTGCTAGGCAGGCACTCTACCACTTGAGCCACTCCACCAGCCCTGTTTTGTGTTGAGTATTTTTGAGATAGGGTCTCACAAACTATATGCCTAGGGCTGGCTTCGAACTGTGATCCTCCAAATCTCTGCCTCAGCTGTAAACTGTCTTTTTAAAAGTATCCTAGGTGACACTAAAGACCAGTAAAGTGAGAGAATTGCTGCTCTGTTAGAATTCTCTCCCTTACATCAAGCTAACGCTGGTTTCCCAACCCCATCAACATCCTCTCCCCCTGCTCCTAGCTCCGCTCTCCAGAGCGAGGCTTTGCAACAGTAGGTGCATGCATGGACCTCAAGAAGTCTACGGACCTGAGCACGCCAGCATCAGAATCACACAGCGGTCTGTGGGCACAAAAGGGTGCTGACCCTGTCTCAACACCCAACTGCCCCATTAACTGCTTTTCTCTCTCCCGGGGTAACCATCTCCAGCGCCTTCAACTCCTCCTCACGTCATGGGAAAATCTGAAACTATATACAGATAAGGAAAGGAATGGCGGAGGCCAAAAGATGTGATTCTGCAATAGAAAATGGACCCCCTCAAGGGTGCTAGGAGAAGGTTCAGTCATTCTAGTACTCAATAGCAGAAGTTTAAGAGTAAAACTCAGAGCTCTTATTAAGTGCCAGAGCTGGCTATGAGCATGATACATATTTGTTATGTGCAATTTACTCATTTAATGGGAGATCTGATGTCAAAAGTACAGACAACTATACTGCAGATTGTTAAAGGCTCTGTGGCTGCTAACACACCAAAGCATTCTACTCCTGAAAAAGAACATCACTGGGCTTTTCCTAATTAAAGAAAAATCAGCAGCCAATGGAGTGGTTTGAATGGTAGAACGGCTACCTAGCAAGCACAAGGTCCTGAGTTCAAAACCCCAGTATTGTCAATACAAATTATTCAAAAGAAAAGAAAAATCAGGTCACGGGTAGCATAGTCTTAATTTTAGGTTTTCTCGTTTTAAGTACACCTTCACACTTTATTACCTATGCGGTATTCTAACCAATGTTAACCAACACAATAGAAATGGACAATAAGCAACCAAAATCAACTATAGCTGAGCATGGTGGGGCACGTCAGGAGGCTGAGGCAGGAGGATGGAGTTTGAGGCCATTCTGGGCTACATAGCAGGTCTGTTTCAAAAAAATTAAAAAAGGATGTGTGGTTTCCTACAAATTGCATCCAGTTTTAAGAATGCAGAAGTCTGCACTGACCTATTTTCTGATAGAAAATTACAGCTAATTAATAGATTTGAAGAAATCAAGAGTCCATACCATTGTACTTCGTGGCTTCCTCTGAGCTTTATGACCTGATTCAGTCTGAAACTGACTTGTCAAAAGCACGCATCAGAGTCCACACAAATGTTTTGTACCATGACAAAAAAACTCAAAGACCACGGAGAAAACAGTGTCATGGGAAGTGCACATGCAGACACAGCAGAAAAGAAAACCTGATTTGGAGCACAAGCAGGAAGCCTCACAGGTGTAGCAGCCAGAAGGAATTGAACTCTGTCACAAAGTAACTGAAGTGACTGGAGCCATGGCACAGAGGAATTGCCGACTGAGCGTCCAACACCCTGAGCACGTATTGGGTAAACAGTAATAAACACAGATCTGAGAACTTAGGACACTTAGAAGTGAAAGAAAGAATGGCGAGGGACAGTCTAAGAGATAGACTATGGAAATTCACTGTGACCCAGAAAATCTTTTCTTTTTAGCCCAGAATGGTCTTCAACTTGCTATCCTCCTTCCTCTGCCTCCCAAGTACTAGAATTACAGGCATGAACCACCATGGTGGGCTTTAGAAAATATCTTTTCTAGTAGCACTAAACACAGAATCAGAAAGGAAATGAGCAAAGAACTATGAAGTCATTTATCTTACCAATAATACAAACCGTCATGATTGATGGAGTGGAGGGAATGATGAAACAGAGTGGCCTGAGCGCTATTTGTTGTCCACAGGTGTGATGAAGTGGAGATTACCTGCACTATTCTCTCATTCTCTCTACTAGGTGAAATTTTCCTTAGGAAAAAAAATGAAGCTATTGCATTATCAGAGTGGTTTAAGAGATGAAAGGTGGCAGAATGGTGGAAGTCAGGGGGCTGTGAATTTTGACTTTAAGCAAACTGA